TATTGATTTTGGGGTTAAGGGGTCAAAGGTCAAGGTCACATTGACCTTGTAGTTAAAAACGGTTTCCGATCAATAACGAAAGAACCCTTAGGCCTAGGAACTTCAAACTTGATATGGTGATTGGTCATGATCAGTAGATGACCCCTATTGATTTTGGGGTCAAGGGGTCAAAGGTCAAGGTCACATTGACCTCTTAGGTTAAAACGGTTTCTGATCAATAACTAAAGAACCCTTAGGCCAAGGGACTTCAAACTTGGTATGGTGATTGGTCATGACCAGCAGATGACCCTTATTGATATTGGTGTTAAAGGGTCAATGGGCAAGGTCACATTGACCTTGTAGGTAAAAATGCTTTACAATCAATAACTTAAGAACCCTTAGGCTTAGGAACTTCAAACTTGGTATGGTGATTGGTCATGACCAGCAGATGACCTATTGATTTTGGGGTCAAGGGGTCAAAGGTCAAGGTCACATTGACCTTGTAGGTAAAAATGGTTTCCGATCAATTAACTAAAAACGCTTAGGCCTAGGAACTTCAAACTTTGTATGATGATTGGTCATGACCAGCAGATGACCCCTATTGAGTTTTGGGTCAAGGGGTCAAAGGTCAAGGTCACATTGACCTTGTAAGTAAAAACGGTTTCAGATCAAAAACTTAAGAACGCTTAGGCCTAGGAACTTCAAACTGGTATGGTGATTTGTCATGACCAGCAGATTACCCCTATTGATTTTGGGATCAAGGGGTCAAAAGTCAAGGTCACATTGACATTGTAAGTAAAAACGGTTTCTGATCAATAACTAAAGAACGCTTTGGCCTAGGAACTTCAAACTTGGCATTTTGATTGGTCATGACCAGCAGATGACCCCTATTGATTTTGGGGTCAAAGGTCAAGGTCACATTGACCTTGTATGTTAAAACGGTTTCCGATCAATAACTAAAGAACCCTTAGGCCTAGGAACTTCAAACTTGGTATGGTGATTGGTCATGACCAGCAGATGACCTATTGATTTTGGGTCAAGGGGTCAAAGGTCAAGGTCACATTGACCTTGTAGGTAAAAACGGTTTCCGATCAATTAACTAAAAAGCTTAGGCCTAGGAACTTCAAACTTTGTATGATGATTGGTCGTGACCAGCAGATGACCCCTATTGAGTTTTGGGTCAAGGGGTCAAAGGTTAAGGTCATGACCAGTAGATACTTGATAACCCTTATTAATTGTTTGATCACTGGGTCAGAAGTCATGCATAATAACCTTATCACATGACTAATTGGCTGCAGATAGGGGGCATACATGTTTTACAAACATATCTTGTTATCAAAGATTTTTCATACGTGTTTGAGAAATAAAGATAAAAGCATTTCTAGGGCATATTTAAGGGCCTTTAATTATTGATACAGTGCATGATATTCTAGATGAATAGTGGAGATATTTCAAGGTTAGAAAGAAGATTTCTTTGATCTATGATAACCATATGATGGTCTTTTGTAAGACAGTCTAATTGTCCTAAATCCTTTGTTCTATGATAACCACATGATGGTTTTTCATAAGACAATCTTCATCCTCATATTCCTTTGTACTATTGATAACCACATGATTGTCTGTTAATAATAAAACAAATTATCGTCAACCTTGATTTTGTTTCTCTTTTGTTATGTTAAATAGAATATGGTGTATTTGCAAATTTGCAATAATGTATAAAAATAATTATGATATTTTATTAGATGATGATGTTACAATAGGATTTACAAAAGGTCATTTATTTCCCCCAAGGTCATTAATGTAAGGTCATTGTTATCCATAAAAGAATATATTGTTTTTATAAAGAATGATTCTTTTTTATGGAATAGGCAGGCTGTTTACTTTGGAGCTTTTTTGTTTGTTCTATATTTAGAACTACCAGTTGGTGTCATTAAGTTATCAGTCTGTGTTGTTCTATACCAATTAGTGTCATTAATTAATATACTGGTACCAAGTATAGTGTCATTAATTTAGCCATCTGTATTGTTCTATATTTAGAACTGCTAATTGATGTCATTTATCCATGTTGTTCTTTTTATAGAACTGCCTTTGATGTCATTTATAAGTCTATGTTGTTCTAAATAAAGAAATATATTTTTGTGTTGTTCTTTATTTAGAAATACTAAATGGTGTCATTTATAAGTCTGTGTGTTGTTCTATTTATAGAAATGCCAAGCATTACAATTTATAATTACAATTTGTTGTTCTATTTATACAACTACCATTTGGCATTATTAATGAGTTGTGTTCAATTTATATATATAACTAATATATGCAGTATCGTTAATAAGTCTATACCTGTTGTTCTATTTATAGAAATTATGATTATGATAGTCTGCAATAATTAAGAATGTATTTGGAAGAGTGTGTCATGATAATAATTATTTATTATTTCAGCAATTAGATCTTGTATGTATAATCTGCAGTGAATGAAATGATGTGAACATTTTAATTTACCTATTTTGAAAACTTTAAATTACTGTCTAAAAATAACTCACAAAGAAAAGTAGGAGGGTCTTTGAAGGGAGTTTTAAAATTGACCTATCAATTTGTACAAATGGGAGGGGCTTTACCTTTTATTGGAAGGGCTTTAATTGATGTTGGAAGCATATAAGCTTGATAATTTAAACAACATTAAACCTTGCAACAAAAGTTTAGGGAAGATGTTAAATTAAAATTAGAAGAATATAATGTTGATAAATTAAACAACATTTAAAGCTAGCATTATAAATATGGTGAAGGCTTTAATGAATATTGGAAGCATATATTTAGTTTGTTATATTAAACAAAATTTAAAGCTAGCAACATAAGATAGGGGACGGCTAAATAAATATTGGAAGCATATAGGCTTAATAAATTAAACAACATTTAAACAACGTTTAAAGCTAGTAATTTTTACACAAGTTATGGGAAGTTCAAGGTTTTAGTGAATATTGGAAGCATATAAGCTTGATAGATTAAACAACATAACATAAGTTACTAGGGAAAGGCTTTAATGAGTATTGAAAGCATATAAGCTTTACGGATTAAACAACATTTAAAGCAAGCAACATAAAGGAGGGGCTTGAACTTATATTGGAAGAATGTATAAGTGATAAGGAACATTATACCAGTCCTATTATAATGTCTTTTTAATAGTATCTGCTTGCTTTTTGTCAAAATGGATCGTAACTCAGACATTATCTGAAGTTTCTATTAAATTACTTAGTCTGATATGTCATTTATTGTCTTCAAATGAAGGTCAAGGTCACCAGTTGAGGTCAAAGGTTGTAAATAACCATTGACTTGTCACTAATATTTTTTGCTGGACTTTTAACATATAATATTTAATAGTGTCATTAAAGCTGAAAACAATGCATTGGTAATTTGTAATTGCAAAATTTGGTCTTTAAACTTAGGTGAGCTACATGGGGCTTGTTGTAAATTTTGACATCTTGTGTAAATTTAGCTGTACCTTAGTAGTTTCAAAGCTGAATTAATTATCTAAAAAGTTTTAACATAGTCAACTTTTAACAATGAATTCTTGGATTTTACTTTGGTTTTAACCTCTCTGTGAAAGCTGCAGTAAACAGCACTAACTTTGATAATACTGAGCAAGACTGGCTTTTGTTTCCTACACAAGAACGCTGCACAGTGCTCTCAAGTGCTACACTATAGCATATGATAATTACATTATTCTTTGACTGTTTGCAAAGATTGCAGCTTTATATTTTCAGAACTTAATTACTAAACATTTAGCTTAAAATCTTTAGATGAAACCTATCTGACAGTAATTTATGACATATCAATTAATTTGTGTAAAAATCATAGTGTTGCTTTTGATTTTGAGTTTTTTCATGTTCTACTCGTGTGTCGGCTCATGCCTGAAATAATGCATGGAGGGGCACCTGAGGTCACCCCCACTGCATTTTACTTATATCGTCGTGGCATTGATCACACTTTGGTCAGGTTTTTGTGTGCAAGTTGGTATCAGGGAATGAGTTGAAACCTAAAACTCTTATTTGAATGTATAATAGTAACTCTTGTATGGATTTTGACAGAATTATGTCCCTTTTTGAATTCTACATTATCCAGGCTCTAGTTTTTCTGTCAAGCACTTAGAATAGTCGAGCATGCTGTCCTGATAGGTCTTGTTTCGTATCTGTTCAGCTTCTTCAGAATTTTTGTCCAATTATCATCAGGTTTTATTTATGACGAAAGCAAAAATGGAATAGCAATACAATAAAGGGAGATAAAAAAAAATTTACATTTTATTAAATATTAAAGGGAGGTAATTAATTGCTGTCATCATTTATCATGTTTTATATTATTTCAGCATACATGTAATAGAAAAATTAAGTTCATTTACATTATAATTATAACTTTGATAATCTTCTTGCATATGCTATTAATTTTGTAACACTGGTAATTTTACTTGCCTCATTTGTAATTCTGCTTGCCACATTTGTAATTCTACTTGCCACATTGATAATTTTACATGCACATATTTGTAAATTCTTGCCATATGAAATTATCATTTTTAATAAGGTTTTGATAATATTATTTCTTCAATACATCAACTCCCTTTGTATTACAGAAATTATAAAGTAGAAGTAGATTGATCAGAATAATGTTTTAACTTGCATTGCTTTTTGACAATCTAAATAAAGATATTTCTATAGATAGAAAATATTTGCTATTTTTAGAAAATTTAAAGAAGCTAGTTGCTCAATTAGTGTCATACTGCCAATAAGGAACCAAAAACTTCATAATGTGTTTACATTTGTAACTTAAAATTATGATACAAGAATAAAGTATTTGAAAAGATTTTTTAAAAAATAGCGTGACAAAAGGCGGTTTTGTTATTGAAAATGTATTTATAATGTTTAGCACAATGCTTTTGGAACCTTTCTTTGAATGTAGAAAATTTATTAATGTTGTTGTTGTTGTTGTAAGTTATGTAACAAATTAATCAATAGTGTTGTTGTTGTTGTCTGCTGCAGGAATCTCTAGACGACGTCGGGACAGAGTTACGGGACATGAGGGACGAGCTTCATAAACTAATGGGAGTAATAGAGAGCAAAGATCATGCCATAGAAACTTTAGAAAACCAACTCAGGACCTCAAAAGGCGAAGTTCAAATGAAGTAATATTTATTTGTGTGTGAAATAGATCATAATGTTTTAGTTCAAAGATAAGTAGGGAATGAGACTGTGTGTCTGTGAATAAAAATGGTGCACACTTTACAATTTAGGAATATTGGTTCAAGCTTTTTTTTTTCGGGTGACAGCCAATTTGTTTAATATGAAACATAAGTACTAGATATTAAAATGTAACATTTTATAGAAATTGTTCTAGCATCAAATTTAAGTGATTATGTTTATGCAAGATAATCAATTTCTGAAAATAAGCTGTCATTGTCAATTATATAAATTGAAAGATGAGAAATTGGTGGGAAGTTACAAGGGGGTGAGGGAGCGGGCGGGGTGGGGATGTATGGGGCATAAACTATCTGATTATTTTCACAAATTAGGTACTTTGGAATCAATCACTTTGAAAAATTGGGTTTGGAAAGGGTCCCTTTAATGGACCAATCTTAAAAATAAAAGGTAAAACAAAATGGCTGATATAAGAAAAGGATGTTATTATGAATATTTCAGGGCTCAGGCGATGTCTGATCTTCAAGTATTAGTCTCGGATCTCGAGCAGAAGAATGAAGAGTTACGACACAGTGTAGATGGTGTAAGACATAGTGTGGAGGAGAAGTTGTTATCACCTAGACACACAAGTCCAAGACTATCCAGTCCAACACAGCGACATACCAGTCCGAGCCCACCAAGGTAAATATTTCAGTACTGGTTATTTAGTTACTGGCAAGACTGTTGGAAAATGTAATGTATAGAGCATAGATCAAACGAATAATTAGGGTTTTACAGGTTACTTTGATGATTAGATAGATTTGAAAAATTGACAAAACAATCAGAAATTATGTCTGAAGAGAAAGCAACATAACAATCATCACCTTAGTGCAATAACTGATTAACTGCTAGCAATTATTACGTTATTGCACTAAGGTGGCACATTGTTATATGACTTGTGTTTGCTTAATTGACATGAAAAATAGTAACATAGATTTAACTGATACTGGATAAATTTAAAATTGAAATACTCGGTAGTATGATGTAACACTGTATATTGGATAGTGCTTTTTCATAATAATGGTCAATACATGATAAAAAGAGAATATTGATTTTGAACCTTTTTTTTTCTTTTTTTTTTTCAAAAAGAAAATTTATAGAGAAAAAAAACACAATATATCATTTGATCAATGACAATTTCAAGTTGTGAGGAAGTCAAACTCTCTTTTTCAGAAAGGATGGGGGGGATTCAGTCTGCCACGTAAAGCTTTAAACGCGAGGATTATTTTACATATTTATTTATTTCAACGTACCATCCTGAAATTTTTCACACTGTTATTAAGTCTAATGCTCATATTTGTGAAACAGAATACAAATAGGTGCTAGACAAATGAGTTTTCTATAACCTGTATTTACAGATTTCTCTAAATCTTCCTATTTCCCTAATAAATAGACTAGACATGCTGTAAACGTATTTCAAAAGAAAACCCATCCTCTTGTAAAATGTGTGCTTTGCTATTACTATATAATATTGGTTTTGTAAATATTAATGTATTTTTTATTTTTTTACAATTTAGGCAATAATCTATTTATTTTCTTAGGGCTCCATCAAAAAAAAGAAAGAGGGACCAAAATTGATAAATATCATGATAAAAGATTTAAATATGCTCAGATATTAATTTCAAATTTATTTTTGAAACAAAGCTCTTTCATAAGTTATTAATATTCTTGATTCCTTTGCATGTTGGGTAAATTGTTGTCTGCGAAAATGTGTGCATTTTCAGTTGTATTCAAATATCGGGAAATCTGCAACGATAAAGTGTGACTGTCACTTTGCATGCTGGGAAAATTGCCGTCTGCTAAAATGTTGTGTGCATAATGTTTGAATTGTATTCAAATTTCTCGGAATGTGCAACAATAAATTGTGACTGTCAAACAGTTAACGGATACCTGACAAAACACTGAGGTTTTCGGCATTAGGTTTTTTTACCAAGCATGTTAGCAGATTGTTAAGATCGCACTCAGCTCTCTAGGGATTGATAGAATATATTTTTTAAATGTGCATTAAAATTTATAGGTCACCTGTCCTGCTTAGAAACAATTTGTCACACCCCTCTCATTCATTTCCTTGTATTCCTTTCCTTTTTCTGAAGAAAAAAAAACTACACAGCTTTTGTATATTCTTTAAGCTTGACTGATCGTGAAAACTATTGATGGTGACTTTAACTTTCTTTTTCTGTAACTGGGTTTTTATGTCATACCAGCTCACAGTGTAGACCTCAGCTTTAACCTTTCATTTGTGTATAGGTTGAATAGGAAACTTTGTCCTTCCATGTCATGGCTGTCTCTGATTTATTACAAACAAAAAAGAAATTACAATATTTTTCTATTAATTTATTATCAATTATATATCTTATAATTCTGAAACTCATGAAATAATATCATTATAATGAAATAAGACTCTATGGTGATTCTAAGAAAAGAATTATTTCATTTTCCTTGAGAATTGCTGCAAAAAGTATGTCAAGGAAAAATGATAATTAAATAGAAACAGGAGAGGACGCCTTCATTTTTTTAGCTCACCTGACCACAAAATGCTCAAAGACAGCCTTTCTGTAAAGATTACCTGTTATTTGTCAAGCATGCCTGAACATAAACAAAGTCCAGACTATCTGTGATTGTCCCATAGTTGTCCCATAAACAAATTTGCCATTTTGGGGGTCAATATTTTATATAATATCATTGAAAAAAAAAATGTTTAAAAAACAATATAAAAAGCTATAAAATAACAAATGTTAAAATTTAGGTGCATTGCCAGGGGAGGTAATAACTGCTATTTGGAAATCATGTATCAATTATCCTTCACTATCAATAGATTCCTGTAATAAAATCAGCATGTTTGTAATTGTGTAATAATTACTGCTTTTCTCAGGTGAGCAATATAAGGTCCATCATGACTCTCTTGGATGAGCTGACTTTCAGTGATTTAGGGTCATAGATAAAATACTGTAGATTGGGAAATGTTTGTGTCACTAAAATTTTTGGGAAATGTGCCTTCATGAACCTCTGTGTTGATTTTAATCAATCTTCAAAGAAATCACACCTTTTAGGAGTTTGTTACAAATGAGCCGCGTCACGACAAAACCAACATAATTCGTTTGCAACCAGCATGGATCCAGACCAGCCTGCGCCTCTGCGCAGTCTGATCAGGATCCATGTTGTTCGCTATCAGTTTCTCTACTTGTAATAGGGTTTGTAAGCGAACAGCATGGATCCTGATCAGACTGCGCGGATGCGCAGGCTGGTCTGCATCCATGCTGGTCGCAAACCCATTATGTTGATTTTGTCGTGACACGGCTCAAATGGTTCTGGTCTGATACATGTTTTCTCATGTTTCTCAAACTGGTCAACAATTTTTGAAAAAAATAAATAAATCATACATGTTAGGAAATAATAACAAGCATTTTCTTATTGTACATCTGCAATAGTTAATGTTAATTAATATTGGTGTCCTTTATTTTTATAAACTTATTAAAAACTTACTGAAAACTTGCCCCACCCTTGGGAATTTTTTTTTCATCGCCTCTTCCATAGGTGATTAAGATAAAGGCCTGATAGATCATTGTGATTTTTAAATCTCAGTTTTGTCTCGAAACTTAACATTATCTTTGAGACATAAACAAGGCATAAAACTCTCACGTTTACGTGCACGTGAATTGTGGTTTAGTAATTCCCACTAGAAATTTTTTTTAATCACAGCTTTTCCATGGGTCTCAGTAAGATGAATTTAAATAATATTATTGTCAAAGACATGACTTTTATAACAGCATGTTTATGAGATTTATTTTCAATAATAAAAAATCGTCTCTTTGACAAGGTAGAAGCTTTTTTTGTGACTGAATTTAGTAAATTTGGTCAGTAGGGATAATTTATAATGGCATATTTGAGGTTAAGCAATGATTATGTCCACATGTGGCTTCAAATATACTGGTAACTGAAAAAAAAATGGTAAAGATTGAAGACTGTTAATATAAACCTTTTTATTTCTTTCTTTTTTTCTCAATTGTACTTAATTTTGTAGTCCATAAGAATAACGAGGCAAGATATTTACTTCTTATATTTTAAAGCTATGTAAGCTAAAGATTTCAGATCAATCACTTACATCAATTAAGGGAGATAATTAGATTACCATAGAAATCCAGGGGTTTCTGGCTCTATCCTGAGTTGAGGCAAAATTGGGTCATTTAGTCAAAGGTCAAGGGTGGAGTGAAACTTTGTAGATAATCCTTGTCAACTCAATTACTTGAAAAGGAATAAGCATAGGATTGTGAAACTTGGTAGGGACTTTGCTAATGGCCAATTTTTTGGCCCCATTTATTTAATTTGGTCAAAGGTCAAAAGAAAACAAAAATTTGAAAGCATGCAATGCATAAATATTACCCAAATTTATAGGAGCAAGAAGGTTAAGAAATAATGGAAGCACTAATTAATCAATGATATACTGTCTTAATATCTCATATGTTATCTTGGGATCTATTTTCATCTATATTAACTATTTGCAAATGATGATATTCTGCAATTTTACATACAAAATAGCTCTGGCATACCTGGTTATGTCATTTTTCTTCAACATGGCATTTAGAAACTTGTATCTTGTTTAATGTGATTAAATAACATAACAAATCTGATCATATATTAACATCTTGTTCCAAATTGCCACAGTTTTGAAGCAATAATTGACAAAATAAAGTAAATGGCTGAAGAACATAAAGCACAGTAGGGCCTTTAAGAATTAGGATAGATAGAATAACACGTTTGACATTTTTTTAGTTTGCAAAGTAGATACTTCTTAGTGTTTTGAAAGTTGTCTACTAATGCAGTATCTTATAATTGTCACATGGTTGACGCATGTGACGAGGTAGGGAGACATTTTAGCAGAGCATGTATATCACATGTGAAGAATTGCCATCATTAAAACTCACAGTTATTGTTTTCTTGTTGTAATTGATTGAAAGTCACAGTCTGAAACCTATTGTCAGTGTCTGAAAAACTTAAAATCAGATCGCTGTTTGGTTTTAAGCGAATTAAATTTTACCTGGCGTGACATAATTTTGGTTTAATGGAATCGTCATTGATATGTTGCAATGGGTTGTATTGTAAAAGGATTCAGTGCAAACCAAATTCATTTTTCTGTAATGAACATGTAGATCAAAATCTACCATGAACATTAATATTATCTACAAGTTTGAACAGAAGTTTTTGTTTGATTTCTTAGATTTTATCTGTAATTGTGAACAATCTCTTTCTATTTTAAGTTTGTTTTTTTTTTGACAGAAAACTCATTTTACTTATTTTATTTACATGACTATTTTAAGTATGACTAAAACTGGTATTTTCATGAAAAGAAATATTGTGCTTTGTAAGTAAAATAAACCACATGTGACTGATCATATGGGAAAATATGAAGGTTAAAAACTGTTTCAAGACGTCTTTATATATTTGTTACTATTTTTAGGACATCTAGATCACCAACTTCTAGAGGGTCAAGGATACCAAGGTTATTATTAGGCTTATCGCCATAGCAACGAGTGTTTTAATTTTTATATTCATATTTCTCTTTTGAAAACAACACAATGTATACCTGTATCCCATGTAAAAGTTTGTCTCATCGTTTTAAAATCAGTTATAACCTTCTAAACACATTTGTTAAAAAACATGACCCACTAAAACATTGTATAATTTTTTTTTTAAAAATGACGTTCTAATCATTGTATCGTTTTGTTTTTTAAAACATGACCTTCTAACAATTTGTTTTCCCATATATTGATAGAGTATGTTTTAAAATGTGTTCAGTGAATAATCTAATTGATTAATAATAATTATCAATGAAAGACAATTGTCTATACACCAATTCTGAAAATAAATGGACGCAAGCAAAATAATTTAAGGGAAAAAAAAACTAATTGTGAAAATTTTGGACAATTATTATATAATTGCTTGGAGTTGATACTTTTATTAGACTGTTATTTTCAATTTGTTTTGCAGTGAAATTGCATTTTGAAACTTCATAAAAATGTTCACCACTATGAGAACCTGTGTCGCGCACATGAACCAGGTCTCTTTGTCAAAGGTCAAGGTCACACTTAGAGTTCATTGAAAAATGCTTTTCTGGAGCAAATCTTCTACATGCATAGAGGGATTTAAATATAGCTTGGCACAAATGTTCACCATTGTGAGGTGGAGTGTTGCGTGCAAAATTTAGGTCCGTACGGTCAAGGTCACACATAGGGGTCAAAGTTCAGAATCCTGTATGTAATTTCAGAATTTTCATAAAAAAAAGCTTTGTCCCTCCTTTAAAAAATAAAGCTAGATATTTAGTTGAGACAATTTTAGAGAAGAGATACATAGAGAATGCAGGTGTACATTGTGAACATCTCTCTGAGCACTCAGTCTACCATTGTCATCATTTAATAATGATTAAACAATTAAAATAAAGCATGCTAAGGCAATAAAGCCTTTCATTGGTATTAAGGTAAAATCTTTGCTTTGACCTTTTCTTTAATTAGATAAATTATAGACTGTCTTTTCACACTCTTTTTTTGTCATAAGTTTACTAAGTTGATAAAAAAATCATGTTTTGAGGGTTTTTTTTCACAATCAAACAGTTTGTCATGAATTAATTTTCTTACCTCTGACTTTAAACTAAGAAATAGGTCATTTTGACCAAGATTTTGAAATTATCAATTTAATGATATATTTTTGTTTTTCATTTCATAAGATTATTTATATACTAATATGATCTTACTAATATGATCAAATTATAATTAATGTAATAAGAAAGTCAATAATTATGATTATTTGTATTATAAAAGTAATATATTGTTGTAGAAATCAAACAAAAGTCATAACTTAATAGTTATGATTATCTTTATCATATTCATAATAAATTGTTAAATATTATAGATTTTATATTTATGATTATAGTTATAGAAGTGATTAAACATTGTTACAGGAATCTTATGAAATTCATAATTACTGATAGTAATGATTATTATAAATGAATTAAGTCATAATTATTTTAGTCATCCTATGAAAGTCATAAATAAATACTACTATGACAATTATAAAATTGTATGTGTTATACACATAGAACTGTTTTCTTGCCCATTTACTGCTTGGCCAATTTGATAGAATTAGAAATATCACTAAACTGTTTGTGTGAAAAGCAATGCACTCTGGGTAGTGGAAAACTGTTCACATTTTTTGCATACCTTTAAAGTTATATATGTATGATAAAAGAATCCTACATAACTATGCAAATATATTACTGAAATTTTCAATCAAACTAGTGCTAAGCATGTTTAAAACACATGTGGTACAAGTATGACATCTTTAGTGGTCTTAATTAGTAGGGCTAGATTTTATAGGCATATTGACTTAACCTGCTCATTGTGCCTGCTAGAAAATGATCAAAAGGTATTTAGACACTTATCATTTGGCTAGAAAATGATCAAAAGATATTTAAACACTTGACAGCTGGCTAGAAAATGATCAAAAGATATTTAGACACTTAACAGCTGGCTACAAAATGATCAAATTATATTTAGACACATAACAGCTGGCTAGAAAATGATCAGAAGATATTTAGACACTTAACAGCTGGCTAGAAAATGATCAAAAGATATTAAGGCACTTTTGCCAGAAAATGATCAAAAGATATTTAAACACTCGACAGCTGGCTAGAAAATGATCAAATTATATTTAGACACATAACAGCTGGCCAGAAATGATCAAAATATATTTAAACACTTGACAGCTGGCTAGAACACTTGACAGCTGGCTAGAAAATGATCAAATTATATTTGGACACATAACAGCTCGCTAGAAAATGATCAAAAGATATTTAAACACTTGACAGCTGGCTAGAACACTTGACAGCTGGCTAGAAAATGATCAACAGATATTTAGACACTTAACAGCTGGCCAGAAGTGATCAAAAGATATTTAAATAAATTATTTAACAATTTCCTTTATCTTTAATCCGTCTGTCACTCTAGAAATTTCTTAAGACATATCTTCATGGTCATATCATATTCATGTAAAAAAAAAATTAGCTTTGAGACTTAGCTAGTGGTTACATAACACATTTACGTTTTATTGCATGAATTGTCAAGAATTGTTTTGATGGTAACAATTACATATTTCTTTATTTAATTATTTTACACACAATTCAATATAAAAATGACACATTCAACAGGTGATTTAGTGCGTTTTCTGAATCTTACAATTGTTGTTATTTCCTATCGGCTAACATTAAACTTGTCCAAGAAATGTTCTTAAGCTCACCAAATACAGGCTTAGCTATGCTTTTCTCAGACTTGTTTAATATGAGTCTTTATGAAATGACTGCCCGATTGTACAAACCTAGGATAATTTATAAGTTTGTATACTCTTAGAATATACAACATAAAATGTTGATTTAAGTCACCAGTAGAAACCGGTGACTATATTAGTAACAGCATATTTATCTATTCTCTTAGAATATATAATTATAGTTACCTTCAGGTGATAATATTGTCATAATTTAGAACTAGCAATATTTTCTCATGCACGAATAATAAAGAAACATAATACGGCCAATGGTAAAGACATAAAATGTCGTAAAATGTCATCTATCTCGTTAATGAAAAAAAAAACATTTTACAACTGGACTTTCCCGTATATTGATAAACATTCCAACGGTTTTTTAAAGGGTAACGATTTATAATTACCAGCTAAGTTTGCTGTTCATTTAAGTTAGTGTATTAATTCACTGGCAATATTTTGAGGTTGAAAAACTTATATATAATAATATGTCTAATTTAAAGGTTGCCGCTGGTTTTCGGCATTTCTTCTTAATGTTTAATTATTTGGGTTCTTAAATCCAAGGGTATTGAGCCTTATTAAAAAGGATGGGAGAAACTTATTATTTGGGAACACAGTTTTAATTGTGCGTTATCTATTTAGTTACATTGCTAGCCTACCTATTTAAGTCAATAGGGAGAGTCTCGTATTATGGTAATCCAGGGTCGATCATGCTTGATCTTCGGGCTAGTTGAATTTCTCCAAATCAACAATTGAAGATCTTGAACACGTCTTTTAACTCTCTCTTTATGTGGGATAATTAGTCGGTCACTTGCAAGTGTTAATTATTGGTAAGTTATCAAGGAAAGCCGGTGCAGCGGACAGACTACCGAGCTATGTGATACATGAAATGTGTTGAAAATGAACCGGTTGTTTCTATGGCATGGGCAATGAAAAAGCTTATTAAGATAACCTTATTTATATCATCGCATAAAATATTCAAAGAGCAATATTTGGCCGAAGTTGAGTTACTTAACTTTAAAGTGATATTGTATTAAGTTACTAAAACCTGTACTTTTGTAATCCTGAAAGTTTTTTGAGACAAATTGAAGACTTTATAACTTAGTACATATATTTTGGATGATGATATTAGGACATTAAAGGTCATTGGCCAATACTCATAACTCAAGCATGTTTTTCATACAGGATTTCCCCCCTTTGTGAAATCTAGTGCTCAAGGTTACACATAACTTTCATAATTAAGTTCTTTCTCATTTAAGTTCTCAATGAAAAATGTAAATTTTATATTTCATTGATTATTTTATTGTTGCAATTTGAATGAATTTTGTCCATATAAAAGAATAAAAATAAAAATTTTAGGCTCTTCACGTAGGTTTAACTGCACAGTCAAATATTAGTATTCTTTGCCCAGCAGAAGCACTATTTCTAACATTTTTTCTATAATCTTCCTAATAACTAACAAAGTTTCTATAAACAAAGATTTACATTAGATTTTTTCAGTCTTAGATTTAGTTTTATGAATATTCATAAAAAAATAGTTATAGCTGATTTAGTTTAATAATGTTGTTGTTTTTTGTTTGCTTTTTGCCGTAATGTTGATAAAATATGTTTCTTTTTTTTCATACAGATTTGTAAATATTTATGTTGATCATACTTATGTTGTTTTATTTTATCTTTTGCAGAAAAGTCGAGGATAGCACTAGGGAACCACACTCGGGTAATTATTTCACTTCCTTTCTAGCATATATATTAGCCTCAGTTCAGTTTTATTTTGTCAAATATTACAGACAATCATCATTAGTTTCAATATAATTATTATTTGAGTTCTCTTCTGTTTCTTTCTATGGATATTTTTTTGTATTTTTTTTTAACTCTTGGACCTGCTTTGAAGTAAAGGTTTTCTTATTGGTCAATTCTTGAACCAACTAAATCCTAGGGAGCCACTTCATATAATTTTGTACATGAGATGAAATTGTTATTAAGTTAAGGTAATGGCCAACATGACAATTTCTGATAAGGTTACTGTTACCATAAGATAATGATCTGGTCAAGGTCACTTACATACTAATAATAAAGTCGGGGTCATTTTTTATATATCTCTAATGAGGTCAAGGTAACTGTTATTAGTAATGATGTCATGGTAACTGTGATGTTTATAAGAAGATCAAGGTCATTTGTGATAAAAATAATAAGGTCAAGTTCATTATGATGAAAGTAATAGGTCAAGGTCATTATGATGAAACTTAGTTGGTCAAGGTCACTTTGTAATAAGTAAGATGGTGAAATTAATGTGACTTTGATTTTAATGTAATGGTCACTGTAACATATATAGAAAGGTCAAGGTCATTGACATTAGAAATAAGATTAGTATGCCACAGTGACATAAGTGATTAGCAATACTGTCAAGTCCTAGGTTACATAAGTAATTGGGTCAAGGTCATTGTGATAGTGATACGGTCAAGGTAACAGTAAAATTAATTTTGTGGGTCAAGGTCAAGGAGACATTATTGATAAGGTAAAGGGTATTAATTCTATGTAAAATGTTACAAGAGTTAATCTAATTTCTCATTGAAATGCTGTACCTGTTATAGTGTTTAATTTATTCAATACAATTGGACTCAGTCCATGAATTCATCGATTCTAGAACTACAATTATATATAAAACATATGATTCATATAATTTTATTTCTGGATATATGGATTCTTGTCATTTAGCTTCATTTCCTGTTATTGTGAATTACTAGTTGAAAACCATTTAGTTGTGTTGTTTATGTTTTATTTGTTGTTTTATAATTTTATTCTTGTTTTTGTGTGTGTGTAACATGTGAAAATAAAAGTTAAATTAGTTTAGAATAGTACATTTTCAACTTTGATAATAATTTATGTTTTTGTTTTGCAGCACTATATTTTTTCGATGGTTGTTGTCGCCTTTTTATGTCATTGTTTCAGCCTGCTGTGTTGTCTTAGACTCTAAAAACAACTTATTTTATGCATCAATCAATGTCATTTGTTTACATTCAAATAAGTCAAAACAAAAATAAGAATATATCTTTAAAAAATAATCATTTATTTGAGAAACAAACAGGTTTAAATTGCTCAAATGCTGAGATGATTAATTAAATAGTTGATTACACAATGTTGCATGTATTCTGATGTTTCATGTGAATAGACATCAGATAATGGTCAGCTCGGCCCTATATTTACTAAACACGGGTCAAGTTGTCCTACTTTTGAAATTTATTAAATAATTAAGTTGTTACTGTATATACTGTTACATTTTGGTAATTCGAAATTGGATGTCTGTCAAGTGGGCAGAACTTATCCTAAAGTCACCCCTCATCAGTACTTATATATATATAGTTGTAAATAGATGGTTACTGAATTGTCATAGTGATATTTTGAAAAAAGAAGAAAAAAAAGAATATTTTAGCCTGTGGTAAAAATATATTGCGTAAATGAACAGATTAAATTTTACAAAATCTTTACGTCATTTAAAAAGCTAGATAAATTAAATGTGACTGAAAATAATTTAGTTCTTGTATAGATCATCAGCTGCACTTAAATCGGGTAAATATGCAAATGTTTGTAAAGAAATATACTCAGATTTAAGTTGAAAAACGCTTTTTAGGCGATTCTTAGAACCATTGGAGTTTAAAGCATTAATTCATTTAAGGGAGAAAGGATTATTCTGGAATAATTGAGTGAGCGAATTATCTGTGATTTTGATTATGGATGCAAGATATTAGTCACGACTTTCATTAAATGGTCTCAAAATATATAAAACCTGGGTCCGGGAGGACCCTCTTAAGAAAAGTAAAATAAATAACAATTGTATACTAAAGTGAAATGGTATAAATAGATAGCACTGTAAAGGTAGAGGAGAATTACATACAGATAAAACAGCAGCTTTTGTTAAAATAATTAATACTTTAGAAACCTTTCAAGGACACTGCCTACCTGTTTCTGAGAAAAAATCTTGTGGCTGAGTAATATTTTAAGGATTATTTTATTGTTTATCTTTTTTGAAGGAGACCTGTTTGGTGTAATTACAGGCAGATCACGAAGTCAGGTACACACCTTGTTTTCTCTCATATTTCCCCGTTAACAAGAAACAATATCAAGAGAATGTTTGTTTTTATTGTTTGTAAGGATGATCTTTTGATTACTATTAACAGTCTCAAATGCTATTTAGAAGTCATTCAATGAATTTTTTGATGACTTCTTGAATGGTGATGAAATATAATAATCTACAGGAAAGTCAGTTTTATGATATAAAGTTGTGTTTAGATCATATGAAATATGATGATCTTTTATAAAGAAATGTAATTGTTGTCAATTTTCGCTGACATTGGAATTAAATTGATGTTTATAGGTACCGATTTTATGTGACCTTAACAGACTCACTATTCGATACATTGAGTCCTTAAAAAAAGAAATTGATCATGGCATATTTTCAATGAAATAAGGAAAAACGATACATGTTAAACACAAACTTATACGCATAGATATCTGAATAAATTAGTTATCTTACTGTTTAAAAAGATAATAATTACTAAGAAAAAATTGTATATGATTATGAAAAAAATAAAAAAATTCATTATTCAAATTAAATTTTATTAAAATTTTCTCATACAGGATAGGGGTAGTGAAATTATTAAAAGGCTCAAACCTGCCGAGTCTGTGTTTAAACGCGAGTCTCGCTCGCTAACTAAATCCTCGACCGAGTCCGACACCTCTGAAGGTATTGACGTAGTTCCTGGAAATTATGGATCTAAATTTATATCTAGTAAGTCTGGCAACTGTGACAGGCTTATGGTTAAGGGACATAACTCTTCCTTTCTTTTTTTTTAAACAAAAAAAAATCTAAGTATGTAGAAAACTATTTTTCGCTTAAGAGGAATTACTAATATACTGGTAGATAATAGATATTTCAAAATCTTGCTTAGATTTCTAGAAAGTAGATTTATTTCAAATCTGTCTTTATTTGAGCTTTTAAAAAGGTAAAACCTTTTTATCTTGCTTTCTTGTACATGTGTAATAATTTAAACTGTGCACATACGGATTACTTCAAACTGTTCACATATTTAACAGATAAAAACCAATACTTTACGATGACAAAAGTTTGTTTTAAAAATTGATTGAATTAAGTTGAATTGTGTTATATATTATAAAAAAAAAATTCAGTTTAGATATGGAATCTTCAAAATAGCAGTAATGTTAATACGTTTAATAGTATTGTTTTCCGTAATTCAAGGGTTATGTCCCTTTGATAGCCTGTTATATGGAGAAAATGTTTGTGGTTGCTATAAGCTACAGAAAGCCTCACAGCTGTTTTGCTAGCATGACATCACCGGAAACCATCCTAATATACCCACAATTCATGTTATAATCCAGGGTTCAAAACCACTAATTTCACATTCTGTTTAGGCCAGAAACCACTAATAACTTATTTTGTCTCCTGTCCTATGGAGAACTAATAGTTCAGTCTCAAACTAACTGTCAACCTTTTCTTTTCCAGAGGTATTTCAGAGAATTAATATCGGTTGCCGAGATTTATACCGGGAACCAGGGACATTGTCCATTAACCCATAACCTGCTGAATTTTTTGTATAATGGACTTGCCCTGCTTTGTATTTGGAACAGTCCATTTTAGTTTTAAGGGTTTCATTTCTTTAACAAAATATGAAAATGAGCTGTCAACAGTATAGAGCCTTGTAAGACTGCATGGATCATGGATACGCATGCTGGCCTGGCTCTGTACTGGTGACAAAGGGTAATCACTTGGTTCCAGCAGGTTTTGGGTTTATTCTGAGGCCCACATGGAAGATAGGAAAACCCAATGTGTTAGCTTAATTATGTAAAGTCGTTACTTACTTACTTATTCTCATACTTCATAATTGTGCTATACTTAATCAAGGAATGTGTGAAAATATTTAAATTGCTTTATGCGTGTGTGAGCCAGCATGATTTCAGGTGGCCAGATGCTTATTGATACAATTAATTTCAGGGTTTTTTTTTCATTCATGAAATCATACAATATGTGTTAACTGTCACCACAATTAATTTGACAGGCTTTTACCACATGCGTCATTAACAGGTGTGGTTTTTTATGCACCCACCTAAAAAGTGGGGAGCAATTACTTGTGATTGTGTGATTGCTTTGTAGGTACAGCAAGTTTTCTGTAGCAGATCATTGATTTGAGGATAAGCCCTAGTTTATAGAACTTGGTCCAAATATGACTCCTATTGGTTTGACCTCATTAGGTCAAAGGTCAAGGTTGCAATGATACTATGTAATATCCTGAAAACATCAATAACTTGAGAAAATAATTTGAGAAGAAATATCATGGGGTGTCCTAAATTCATCTCTGGGTGTCCTAAATTTGTCCCTGGGTGTCCTTAAATTTGTCCCAGGATCAACACTGTTACTGTCTGTTACATAGTCGCAACAAATGTTTGTTAAGAAAGAAAACAGTTGGATATTTTTTAACATTAAAAGAAATTTTTTGTATCTAGCAAATTTCTTCATTATAAAATGCTTGGATCATAGTGCGTTTGACAATGCATAGGGTTAAACTTGATATGATTATACATGTACTTTACTTATTTATATAACATTTGAATATTCATTGTCCACAGAGACTATGAAATAAAGTAGGAACCTTAAGTGTCACATTTCTAGTTTTAATTTCAAGGAGAAATAATATTTATTTATCATGAAACAAAAAATACAAAATATACTCTATAGTTATATAAGAATATTCAGGTTGAACAAATAATTATTTATATCAGTATTAAAAAAAAAATGGCCAAGATGCCCCGATCATCCTTATGCATCCTAAGGAACATTATGCCTCAGAAACAAAAATCTGTACTTCCTTAGAAGCTTTTAGGTCAGTGGTGAATTTTATGATGTTTAAAATAATGGTTTTAGAGAATGTTAGATGCTTGTTTCCTGAAGAAAGTAGCGATAAATGTGAAATATTTTGTCATAGATTTTTAATAGCCAAATGTAAACAAAGTAGTATTTTGACTTCCATATAAAAATACTAATTCACTTTAACTGTAATTATTGCCAAAAAGCAACAGATGGTTCAGGTAATTGGCCATTGAATACTATAAAAATACAACAAAATTAAAAAGCTTTTTGGGAGATACATATATGTTTGCGTTTTATAATCAACCTATCCTGTTATTATTTGAGCTAGTATGATACCGGTACAAAAATTGATGTGGCCTATATCAGTATCTAGTGAATAGACGTCTTGTCCTACATACAATTATCTTAGTCAAGGTCTTGGCAATTCAACTGGTATCGCGTTGCGATTTATTTGTAGCTATTGTCATCAGCAGTAGATTTTATTTGAAATCATATTGACATAGAATTGGATATTGTTTATGCTTGAGCTAAAATAATTTTCTATTTGTATATTTCTGGCTTTCAAAATGCTTATTTTGGGACTGATTGCAACCCTATATAAATTTGTAATCTACTGCGTAATAACGATATTTTGCATTAATTTGTAATGCCTTAATTCTTTTCCAAAACAGCATTGTTGCCATAATGGCATAGAAAGAAATAGAATTATGTAACACAAATGAGAACATCGTTAAAAGATACATTTATTCATAAAATTATCTCCTCTAGATATTGTGAAATTTGGCCTTAATTAATTCGTAACTTTAGTTTCCAGAACAGTATAATAATTAGAAGGAAAAAAGAGTAACATAACGGAAATTGGATCTGTAGTAATATTCAATGTCAAGGTTACTTTAAAAAGATATTTTTTTATCATATCTTATAGAATTATGTATTATATATTGAGAAGTGGTGTCATGAAATTGGCTGAATCCTGACCTTTACAGAACAGCAAAGTCACCTTGAGCTTCGATAAGTTAATATCTTAGTCTTGTGTAAGACAAAGTCGCAGAATTTGGACTGGTTTCATGGTTTAATTTATATATTGAATATGTATGTATATATACATGACTTGTATATTATGTAAGCAAAATAGATAGACAATATACCCAGAAAAGTTTCGGGCACCATATATAATTATTAAAAATATGTGAAAATGACTTCATATGTTATTACAAAAATGTATAAATAATTTGATTTAATGAATAAAATGAAAAACATGTTTTGCCACAGAAAAATCCTAAAATAGACAAAAACTGGATGAACAAAAGCAGAAATAGGTTATATTAAATGATCCTGATATCAAGTTGATATCAAGTCTAATAGTTACTGTAACAAGTAAAATGATATATTTCCACCTGACACAACTTTTTACTATCCCCACGCTAAAGTTTTTACTGTATGTCAGTGTCTAATTTGAGCTATATTATAAAATAGACATTTGAGACATCTTTGTTGGAAAAAAATTGGTCAGACTTAAACTTAAAAGACTAAATAATTCTCATATTTAATTCAAGCATTTTTAGAGGTGGGGCAAACATTGGATCTATGTTATATGACAGTAATAAGATATCTTAATATTATAATGCTCATATTACTAAGTTGGTTACGTTATTAACACAGGGTACAGATGTTTACTGTTGAATTAAATAAGGTTGTAAAAAATTGATCACAGTAATCAAAGTAACAGGTGCTTGTGCTCTAAATATACCATACACCTTGTCTTATATTTGCAATGAACGATAGTGTGCTCTTTGTGGCTGAAGGGGTTTGGCTTTACTAGTTGAGGCATCAGATTTGCAGCCAATCTTTTACCCTGTGTGAAGAGGTGACTAAATGGGTTTGAATTATTAGGAGTCTATGCATCTCTTAGCTCCTGCAGGTGAGCTGGTTTTGAACACTGGTGTTGCCTTGAAGTTTGTAACACCAGAGGTTAGCCATCATCCTCTTCCCTGTTTCAACGCCATATGACCTAAATTGTGTTGGTGCGTCGTTGTTAAACCAAAGGAAATAAACAAACAAGCATACATGTTGAATTATATAAATGAAACAGTGATTCCCACAGTGTTTTATACTAAATTAATCTAGCGGTGCCCCTATATATTTCTTCACTATCAAAGATGTTATAGAAATGATTGATATAAATGATTTTACATGTTGAAATGTTGAACCAAACTATAAAAGCAGCTCCAATAGTTGCTATTCGTGTTCAAAGAATGTGATTATTGAGTCTATATTACGAGTTGAAACTCAGTTATTCCATCATTCATTCATTCATTCATTCATTCATCCATATCCAAGATCCAAACCACCATCTATTCATTCACCACAAACCTATCCATCTTCCATCCATCCATTGATTTATTCAGCGTATTGCTAACATACTGTTTAACTGCTAGCCTGAGCTATGACTATCTGAAGGTGTTTTAGTTAATACATTGAGTGATATTGGGATAGGCTATGCTAATATATGTACAGTGTGCATAATATTATCTCCCTTTAATGTCTTTTTCTCCCTCGGATGATTATATTTGCCTGTACCTGAATCCAATGATAATTTAGTGTTGTTACACCTTACTAATGATGATTTAATGTTGTTACACCTTATTATTTGTAGCCATAAGATGTGATGTAGGAATGATGTTTTAAAAAAAATAATATAGATGAAAACTACATTTTACAAATAAAATAAAGATCATACATGTAAGTTACAGATAAAAGCTTATGCTCATTTCATAGAAACTATGCAAGTATATATTCACATACAGAAATGACCTAAATTTATGCAGGTTTTCAATCTGCTATGTCATCTCATTCTACAGAAATAGCTTAGCACAAATTAATTCTTATAAGATATTTATATAGATAATGTAATATGCATATTACAATATTCAATATTCCAAAATGTATTGTTTTTTGTTTTTTTATTGAAGTATGTTTGGAATTTACAAAAAAAATGTAGAATTGAATTTAAGGAGTGGAGATTTTCTTTATATATTATTCTATCAGTTTCATTTGTCTTTGTTTGTATAGCATATAGGTTGGTATCAGATTGGTAAGTATACGTTCAATTGTGCCAGATCAATTTTTTGTTTGACTTTTATATGTATATTTTCGAACATATAATATATATAAAAAAGAAGTGTACATTCAATATGTATGAGGAATATAATTTTGTTAATGTTTCAAGCTGTTGTATTTTGTAGAACAAATAAAGCGGAGCCAAAGTGAAAAAGGTGGAGACCGACTACAGAGCCTTATCTCAAAATACCGTGGTTACAGCGATTCAGGAAGCCTACCGGAACGGAAGATAAAACCTCTCTCAATTTCACCGAGTAGTAAAATGGGATTAGTCACAAAGGGGCGGAGCTTTGGGCCAGCGGCCCCTAAAACAGATAAAGAGGTGAGTGGTGAGGACTCTGAATCACGTGTGCAAGAATCTCACTTTCCTTTTACCTCATCACATTTAGCAAATTCTGAATCTTATGCCCAAAAAAATAGTCCCATTTTGCAAGAAAATAGTGCCACAGATAATGAGGTGCTAGTTGAGAGAGCGGATGCTTCTGGACAAACAGAAACAGAGGGTGGATTAGAAAAAGGCGGGAACGGGGAGACGGGCACCGAGGGTCAGGGAGAAGAAGATGAAGAAGATGAAGATGAATCGACTGAAGAAGAATCTGATTCGGAACAAAAAGATATTGACAGACTTATTGACAGGTACATGTATTATTATTAGTACACTTTTACATACTTATTAACATAAATGTAATGCTCTCAGAAATGGCAAAATTTGAGTTGGATAGAAATATCTTTTTTAGTTATTTTCACTAATGAAAGATTATTAATACAATAGCTTTTCAGTTTCAGATAAAGGTCTTAATAGATTTTAAATCTAAAGGAAAACGGATTTATGATAATGTGATATTGACAGTTTCTTCGTTATTAGACTGAATTATGCTGTGATAGCACAGGTGCTTGAAAATGTCATCTTATGCAATGTAAAACCTGTATTAGATGAGTGGCATGCTTTAAACTATATTCTGGAGCCATTTTGAATGAGTTGCCTGCTTAGGTTGGCATATTTGTGGCTGTTGGAAATTTACAATTTATGCTACTCAGATAATAATGCTATATCTTTTCAAACTATAATTAACAACCTGTAACCTTCTGAAACCAGAAGTGAATCTTCTGAAACCGGAAGTAAATATTCCGTACCGGAAGTGAATCTTCTGAAACCAGAAGTGATTAGACTTAGTCTTTCCAATCAATATAATAGCCAGCCTAACCTGCTCGTCTGTGCTGCCTGACCAGGCTCTGTTGGTAGAACTTTTTATGTATTTTGATATTGAAATCCCAAATTTTTCAAATGGACTGTTCCAAATCAAAGGGGGACAAATCATTTTACAAATTCAGTTGGTAAAGGGTTTAATTAGAAGTTTGAAATAAAAAAATCAAATGCTGGCTGCCATCACCAGTATATAATCAGTTCTTTGGTAACTGTAGAGGAAGCTTGGTAGGGTTTGCACCATACAGAGTGACCTTTGACACAGATATTCTGGTCAGTACTGGCAACCATAGTAAGATTTTTATATACCAAAATTAATTGATCACCTGTTTGGGTGGCCTGTAATAGTGCCTTTGGTGAATTTTTTCTCTTATCTTATAGCTTCACAATTAATGGCTACTCTTAAATAGAGTTTACTTGCATCATGGTTTAGCGAACACATCATTCTTGAACTTGTTTATTTTACTTGTTTGGTAGCTTAACCCTTATAACCTGCTAAATATCCTAAATGGACTTGTCCATCTTTCAATTTGGACCAAACCATTTATCATTTTTAGGGAAAATCATCAAAATATGTACTGATAGACATGTAATAGAGAACAGTGCATACCATGATCAGAGGGCACAGATTTATAATGCCGGCTGACTTGGTCCGCACTGGCTGCATGGGTAGATTCAGTTGCCACTGGCATGCTAAGAGTTAAATATACTAGAATGAAAGAAAACTATATGGGCAGCGTCACGACAAAACCAACATAATGGGTTTGCTACCAGCATGGATCCAGACCAGCCTTTGCATCCGCGCAGTCTAATCAGGATCCATGCTGTTCGCTACCAATTTCTCTACTTGTTATAGGGTTTGCAAGCGAACAGCATGGATCCTGACCAGACTGCGCAAATGCGCAGGCTGGTCTGGATCCATGCTGGTCGCAAACCCACTATGTTGGTTTTGTCATGACACCGCTCATTTATGGCATGACAGCTGTGGTTATTATTCAGTACTGTTTTCTTAGATTACAATGGTAGTTAGTATTTCATGGAGCTACTAGTTCCTTCAATGCTAGATATATCATCCTTAGCTTAAACAAGAATAGTTATTAAGAAAAATAATTTGTTCATTATGGTTAGGATTATATTTTAGAATACCAAATTGCTTCCATTTAACTCCCCTTGGGTCTTGCAATTTTCAGAAGGGGGTGGCACTATAAAATGTGCATTAAAATATGTTTATTTAAGATAAAATTCTATTATAAAATTCATTATTCAGTATTATGATCTTATAAAAAAATTAAAAATATAGGGTTTTTTTTAAGGTTTTTTTTTAAGAGTGATTAATTATTTTTTAGATAAAAATATTTGATTTTTTTTTAATTGCTCTTTCAATATGGATTATAAAATTATAAATTTAAGTAAGGTTTTTTCTTTTACAAAATATGGTGGTGAGGTGCGAAATAAGAAGTTGGACATTAAATGGAAGCATTTTTTTTAAACAGTATTTTTTCCTAGATATTAAACATTAATCATCATGTCCATCAACATTTTCAGGAGTTTAATGTAACTTTTCTGATAACTTGCAGTCTGTTCAGATAATACCCTCTTCCATTGCTCTTGGAAACCATAATTATCATAGTTGTAACTTGTCTGTTTTTGTGTCCGTCTGTGAACTGATGTTATAAAGGTCGCTACAAACTCTTCAGTATCCTGTATTACTTTCTTTTAAAGACTCTGAAATAATTGTCCACATCCATGATATGTATTATTCCATGTCATTTGTGGTCTTCTGTTCTAATTGGTTAATATTTGTATTATAAGATAATTATGGCCCTTTTGTGGAAGTTCAAATTGCATCTCAGCATTAATCATTTTGATGTCTTTTAATGAGTTTTTTTTTTCCTTAATATTGGTAATATAATGTGTAATGTTGAGTTATGCTGCTCAACACAGATTTATGAAAGACTTTGTTTACAAACTTGCACTTTATATAAATTATATAAATACATGAATTTAGATACATTTAGGTTATATAGATTATATCATATTGATACATTAAAAGATACCAATTAATACTGTTTCTTCGAACTGTATAAAAAACTATCCAGATACTTATGGTGGATTTGGATTTGGGTTCTGTGTATTTTAATACTTACGGTGGATTTTGGTAAATTTAAAAACATATCATGGATTTTATCACTTCAGTTGGGGATTTTCATAGAATTATTGCCCAGTTTTAAATTTTTCCAAGTTCTATGACATTTCTTTTGTTTTAAATATTTTTTTAACGTTGAAAGGACACTTCATTTACATACACTAAAACCTAGTATTCCAATTCAATTTCATAGATTGCATTAGAAGCTTTTTTCCCATTTCTTGCTCAATTATCATATTTGCAAGTTCTAGGCTCCTTTTTCTGTATCTTGCTCACCAACCTTATTTTCAAGTTCTTAAGCCTTTTTTTTAGTTCTTTGTTTGGACCAGCTTCTTTAGATGTTAATTTTCTTTCATTTGAAATTTCTTTACCTAATAACCCTCTGTTATACCAGATTACTAAGTCCAGGTTCTTTTTTTGTGATGTTTAATTAAAAATGGACAAACAGCAAATTCTCAAACAGAACAGTACACAGTTTATTAGTCCCCTACCGGTTTACCGGAGGGGACTTTAGGTTTACCCTCCGTCCGTCTGTCTGTCTGTCTGTCCGTCTGTCAGTCCGTCCATCCACAAAACTGGATCCCGCGATAACTTGAAAAGTACTGAAAATATTTTTATGAAACTTGATATATGGATAGATGGCAGTATGGAGATTATGCATGTCTTTTTCTTTTCTTCCTATGTTGAAAATTCTGGTTGCTATGGCAACAAATAGGCTTAAAATATGGCAAATTTTACACATAAACTGGATCCAGTGATAACGCAAAAAGTACTGGAAATATTTTTATGAAACTTGAAATATGGGTAGATGGCAGTCTGGAGATTAACCACGTCTTTTTCTTTTCTTCCTATGTTGAAAATTCTGGTTGCTATGGCAACAAATAGACTGAAAATATGGCAAATTTTATACATAAACTGGATCCTGTGTTAAAGCAAAAAGTAATAGAAATATTTTTATGAAACTTGTAATATGGGTAGATGGCAGTCTGGAGATTATGCACGTCTTTTTCTTTTCTTCCTATCTTGAAAATTCTGGTTGCTATGGCAACACATAGACTGAAAATATGGCAAATTTTACACATACACTGAATCCAGTGAAAACTCAAAAAGTACTGGAAATATTTTTATGAAACTTGACATATGGGTAGATGGCAGTCTTGAGATTATGCATGTCTTATCTGTTCTCCCTATTTTGAAAAAATATTGGTTGCCTTGGCAACAAATAGGCTTAAAACATGGCAAATATAACTTTATTTGTGATTAGTCAAAAAGAGCTGAAATTTTTTTATGAAATTGCATCTTTAATTCAAGAGTTATCTCCTCTTTAAGAATTTTGCTTTTAAAAATGTTATATTTGGTAACAGGGATGTTTTAAATATTAACTTTAGAGTGTCCTTCAGTCCGTCTGTCTGTCTGTTCATAAAAACTGTTTCCTGTGATCACTTTTAAAGAACTTTTCCAACAAATTTACTTAAAATAAAGAAATGAATGGCCAATGGCCCTTCAGAATGTTGATGGGGTTCTAACCGGTAGGGGACTTATGGATTGCTTGCAATACTATGATAATTGCTTGTTAGTACTGAAAAGTATAGATATGCACAGTTCATAACAGTACAGAAAAGGACAAAATTTATCAGTACATTAATTGCGGTCTAAGCATCTTTGCTGTCTTCTAAATCTTTAGTCACTTAAAACTTTTAGATGCTAATCCTCTGTACTCTATTAAACTACTTTGGATGTGGGGTTATTCTTTGGAGGTGGGGCAGTACTTTGGAGGTGGGGTACGGTAATACTTTGGAGGAGGGGTAATACTTGGGAGATGGGGCAGTACTTTGGAGGTGGGGCAATACTTTGGATGTACAGCAATACTTTGGATGTACAGCAATACTTTGGAGATTGGGCAATAATTCTTTGGAATATGGCAATATTTGGAGGTGGGGTAATACTTTGGGAGGTGGGGTAATACTTCAGAGGTGGGGCAATACTTTGGAGGTTGGGAAATTCTTCGGAGGTATTACAAAACTTTTAATGTTGGGTAATACTTTGGAGGTGGAGCAATACTTTGGAGGTGGGGCAATACTATAAAGGTGGGGTAATACTATGGAGGTGGGGTAATACTTTGGAGGTGGGCAATACTTTGGAGGTGGGGCAATACTATAAATGTGGGGTAATACTTTGGAGGTTGGGCAATACTTTGGAGGTCTGGCAATACTTAAGATGTACAGCAAGCAATACTTCGGAGGTGGGTAATACTTTTAAGGTATGGTTATACCTTAGAGGTTGGGCAATGCTTTGGACGTTTGGTAATACGTAGGTTTTACAATATGTAGGAGGTGGAGCAATTATTAAAAATCATATTTTAATAAGCCTTTAAAAAGAGGACATAGTTTGTTTCTTTCTTTTTCAATTATTAATTATAATATATACATTGATTGGTCAGTGCAGGTTATTGAAAATGTATGACATGTCTGAGTGTACTGTAAAATTTTGCCATGACTTTATTACTTATCCTTATAGAAGTCATTTTGACTAATTTGTTGTTATTTATATGGTGGATTAGTTACATGGTTTTTAATTTCAACATCTCATTATTTCACATCTCATTTTATTTATGTTCCTTTTCAATGTCAGAGTCTTATCCCAGTATGTTATTTCCTTTCAAATTTAAAATTATTCATGATACATTGGTATCATGCAGTGTAAAGGTTATTCATGGATCATGGGGGATTTTTTGGACATGACATTAACTTGATTAGAGCTATTTTGGTGACATCATGTTATCCTGATTCATGCAATTTGGTGACATGATGCTATTTTGATTCATGTTATTTTGAAACATGACATTATCTTTATTTATGTTATAACATAATGTTATCTTTATTCATGATCTTAGGTGACATGACAATTTCTTAATTGGTGTTACCTCATGACATGATCATATCTTGATTCATGTTATTTGATGACATAACTTTATCTTGATTTTTGTCATTCCGTGACCTGAACATAGACAAGTTTCATCTTTTATCATTTATCTTGATTTATGTTATTTCATGACATGACCATAATGAGGTTACTAGTATCATGTTATTTCTCATTTATCTTGAGTCATTTTTTTTCATGACATGACCATAGCCAAGTATCATGTTATTTCTCATTTATCTCCTATTTCATGTGTTTTTTCATGACATGACCATAGCAAGTATCATGTTATTTCTCATTTATCGTGATTCATGTTTTTTCATGATATGACCATACTGAGGTTACTAGTATCATGTTTTTCCCATTTATCTCCTATTTTATGTGTGACCATAGTCAGGTATCATGTTATTCCACATTTATCTCCTATTTTATGTGTGACCATAGTCAGGTATCATGTTATTTCACATTTATCTCCTATTTTATGTGTGACCATAGTCAGGTATCATGTTATTTCACATTTATCTCCTATTTTATGTGTGATCTTCATCCTATTTAACAGTTGCTATAGAACTCACTTAGCATTTCTAAAGAAACTCAAGAAGCGAGGATACAAGGGGCCTAAGGGAGGTAAGAAGTAGGTATCCTTAAATATATTATCTCCCTTTAATTAAGACACTCAAATAAGCAATAATAATCTCCCCCTGCTGAAATATTAAAACCATCTTGCATTTTAAATCATTTAAATCATGCACTCATTGTAGAAAAATAGTTTTAGGAGCTTTATTATCATTTAATTTTATTTTTAATCAGTTTACCAACTTTGTTCGGTTATTATTTCTGGCTAGATTTTTCTGACATATACATTGTACTTTGTTTTATAATTCTATTTGTTTTATATCTTTTTTATAATTCTATTTGTTTTATATCTTTATTACCTTTTTCTTCGAGCATGCTATGAAAAGAGAGAGAAAAAAGCAAAGTTAATTAATTCATGAAAATAGCTCCTAAAACAATGCCTGATAGGAAACTGTAGTTAATCTAATAGCAAATTAGATCTTTATTAACTGATTTATAATGTATATATTTAGAATATTACTTTCATTAATGTCTTGATATCTAAATATTAATATAGTTTAGAAATAGTACTAAGTAAATTGATAACAGTAGTGTTGATAATAATGTTGAAAACACTTAAAATTGAATGTATATTAAATTTTCCTATGTGTAATAATAAGCGGCATTTTGAATTTTGTTGAAATTGATTTTAAATCCCCAAATTTCAGAACCATAATATTATACTAGGATCAAGCATGTATAAAAGGTTATTTCTTCCAACTTTGTTTTATTTTATATTTTGAAGTGACATTATGCTCACTTTTTTAGCTCGACTATTCGATAAGAATAAGTAGAGCTATTGTAGTACCCCGAGCGTCGGCGTCGGCGTAACCACTTATGTTAAAGTTTTTGTAATAGTTCAAATATTTTCAAAGTCCATTGACATATGGCTTTGAAACTTTGCACACTTGTTCACCATCATGACCCCAACCTGTAGACAGGAGGAGGTAACTCTATCAAGCATTTTGACAGAATTATGCCCCTTTTTGGACTTAGAATTTACGTTAAAGTTTTTGTAATAGTCAAATATTTTCAAAGTCCATTGACATATGGCTTTGAAACTTTGCACACTTGTTCACCATCATGACCCCAACCTGTAGACAAGAGGAGGTAACTCTATCAAGCATTTTGACAGAATTATGCCCCTTTTTGGACTTAGAATTTACGTTAAAGTTTTTGTAATAGTTCAAATATTTTCAAAGTCCATTGACATATGGCTTTGAAACTTTGCACACTTGTTCACCATCATGACCCCAACCTGTAGACAGGAGGAGGTAACTCTATCAAGCATTTTGACAGAATTATGCCCCTTTTTGGACTTAGAATTTACGTTAAAGTTTTTGTAATAGTTCAAATATTTTCAAAGTCCATTGACATATGGCTTTGAAACTTTGCACACTTGTTCACCATCATGACCCCAACCTGTAAACAGGAGGAGGTAACTATATCAAGCATTTTTTTTTACTATCAAGCACTAAGAATAGTCGAGCGTTGCTGTCCTACCGACAGCTCTTGTTTTTTTTGCTGTCAAGTTGAGATGAATTATTAACATATGACAAAAGTTTGGCTATTATAATGGTTATTAACCAATACCTTATTGATAATGAAAAATGTTTGGGATTACAGTGCCAAAACTACCAAAATAATATAAAACAACTGCCCCAGTCTTATTAATAATTGAGCATTACTGATACATTCTAAAACAATATTTATAGAGATTTCTGTTGGTCATGTGCATTATTGATATATTTTTTTTTTCATAGTAAAGTATTAAAATTGATCACAATAATGGCAAAATGTCAAGTTAATTTTAATTTTTACTATTTACACTTGGATGAGCATAATGTCACTTTATAAGTTACCTAAATACATTTTTTGTAATAAGGGTAAATAAGCACTGGCATGCCACATATGACATTCTTTTATTTAATGTTCTCCATCTATCAGCCTGCACAACATTTAAAGCACAATTGAAATTAGAAAAATAATCAAAATATGCCAAATTCTCTCAAGAATATTCAAATGGCATTGTGACTATTCTTATAACTATTGTGGACACTATTACCAATTTCTTTCTGTAAAACATAATTATTTTGTTTACTTTCCTTCTTATGCAAGGCTTAAATGATCATTTGTTTATAAAGGCAATGTTTTGTTTTAAATCAAGGAAGTAATATATATAAGAGTCTTTAAATCAATGGAATCTGAAAAAGTTTTTAAGTGTCTTTAAATGAATGCTATATGAAATAATGGTTTAAAGTCCAATCTGAAATAATAGTTTCACATTGACTTTAAATGACTGCTATAGTTTATAATTCCCATCTGAATTAAAAAGTTATCAATGTCTTTGAATGACTCCAATCTAAAATAATGGTATATAAGTGTCTTTGATTGACTGCCAACTGAAATAATAGTTTTTAAGTGTCATTAAATCTGAAAAAGTATTTAATAATTATCCTTAAATAACTCTTATCTGAAGTAATGAAACAATTATAACTGTCTTTAGATCAATCTAATTTGTAGTAATAGTTTATAAATGTTTATAAGTGTCTTTTAATGACTTGTTTCAGAAATTATAGTTATTAAATGTATTTAAGTATCTTAAATTGATTCCAATCTAAAATTAAGGTTTTAATTGCCTTTAAATGACTTCCATCAGAAATAATGCAAATAACCAGAAAAACACAATTTTTTATCCGTTCCTTTTAATGCACGACTTCATTATTTTTTTACTCCTGTAATTTCATTTCTTTTCTTGTTATATGCACTTCCAACAAATGTACATTTATTTTATTTAGAAATTACATTGTCAAGAAAAAAATGTAAAAACCAAACACTATGATTTTTCCGACATGATAAATTAATCTTCATACTTTTAAAATTACATAAACACAGATTATATATAAGAATTTGCAAGAAAATATTAAAGAATGCATGTCATTAAAGTTTATATTAAATTTTAGGATTGATTAGGTCATAAATGCTTTGCATTATAACTCAAAATGCTTCTTCCATCGTCATGAACATTAAGAATAAGAAATAAAGATTCAGTATGTAATCAGAATAATCTTTCCTCGAGCTTTTATTTGTATTATACCCCTACCCCCACATGTAAATATAAAATATATCACTTTATTTATTATCACTTTATATATGCATCATTTTAGTGGCGGATGGCTGAAAGTCACTTTTGCCGATCAGTAAGTCCGTTATTATTTCGTAACTAAAATATTGGTTCTCGTTCTGTCATGTTTTGTGAGAAGAGAGATCTTTTTTTTGCACTGTAATTAAATGTCCCAGCTTTTTGTTTTTATATGCCTACGTGATAATGTGAACAAATGTTGAAGACTTTTTATATTGTGTTTTTTAATCTTCTGTTTGTAAAATGTTCGCTTCTTCGTGACATGTTGTTCATGTTGTTTAAGAGTTCATAATTTTGAAGCGCAAGCATCCAAGCAAAGTTGTTGCCTTCTGAAGAATTCACTGGCAACAAACTTTTGCCATATACACTGATATATAAAAATGCATGTACTTAAAGTTTTGCTACAATCTGTTGGCTTAATGTCAGTATATCACCTGTCTTAGAGCAAGCTTCTGGAAAGATTTTGTTTTGAACAATGATTATAGAATTATTTTGTATACAAAGACAGAAAGGCCTAGCTACTACACTCCTAACATGATCATTTGAATTATAAATTTTTAACCTTTGACAACTACAATAAGGAATTGTTTATATTTTTCTGAAGTTGTAAAGGGCAGGCCGTTTCCTGATACATATTTGAAAGAATTCTTTGTCCGACAACTTTGATTTGATCATAAAAAAATACCATTTAACGAAACCATCAGAAAAGAATTGAAATAAAAGATAATAGTTGTAAAAGTCTTGGCATTAAATGTTATTTGCATTTCTGTTTTGTTCTTTTATAGTGTATAATTTTGTCTTTTTAACTGTAAGAAGTTGTCCACTTTGTCCATGTTGTAAAGTTCAACATTCTGTCTGTTTGGAGTGATATTTTATTTTTTAACATTGTTATGTTCAGAACATGTCTATTTTGAGTGCAAAATGGTTGAATTGAAGTGATAATTTGTTTTGTTTCTCTTTGTCAAGTTCTGAATCATGTTGGTTTGAAATTTCCTTGTTTTGAAAATAGTCTGAATGGTGTCTATTTAGAGTGATATTTAGTTGTGGTGAGTGACATTCAGAATTATGCCGTTGAACAAATTGTACTATATATAAATATTGTATGTAATAGTGAAATTTGTCATAAATGTGTTATGAGTATAAGATTTGCATTAGAATTTCATTTAAGTACAAAAGCTCATACAGTTAAAATGGCATGTTATAATGCAAAGACAATTTTGGCTACAAGCAGAGTGACCTAAAGCTTTTGGTTATTCAAATACATGTTTGCTTTCATGTTAGTATATATCTAGTGTACTTTTCATTTGTAATCATGCCCTTTTTTGAGACTTTTAAATGTTACCACCTGAATTCCATAAAAGGTCTTGTTAAACATGACCATTTTGAAAAGGTCCCTTAACCAGTATTTTAGGAATATTATGATGCTATTATGGAGGCTGCTTATTGCCACCATTTTAGAGGCTGGTCAGTTGCCATTATAAGATGTACAGGCTTATATAAAATCAAAGCACAGAAGGCGCTGCATTTGTTTGGGTCTCAGAATGTCAGAAAGGTGAAGGTTGTGAGATTATAAAACAATTTGTTTTTGTATAGTGCCACCAATGCTTTCCAGTGTTTAACTGTAGTAAATTGGCTATAAGACTAATAACAACACTGATATTCAATCCAATGTTTATTTGACTTAAACAATTTGAAAAAAAGAATGAGTTGCCTTAACTGGGATTTGAACTCCAGACCTCTCGCTTCCTAAGCGAGCGCGCTAACGGTGAATTTATATGTTAACGGCCTGAAGAAAACCATATTCTAAATTAGGGTTTGTAATGACGCTAACTGTTGTTTAACACTTGTGTAAATAATTATGGCACATACTATAAGCATGTATATCTATAAAGAATAAAACGATATTAGAAATCTTCGATCATTCGGGAATTATTTTGCTTGAAAATTAATGCGTCTGTCATGTGACCATATTTACGCAGTGATCTCCCCTGAATTTTTTGGCCTAAGTGTTACATATAAAGGGAAGTTACCGCTTCAAAAAAGCGGACTACTTTCGGCATTTGCAATTAACAGCATTAGAGTCTAAAATTTTGCTACCATTATTTGTTTGGTCTGACGACCCAAACAAATAAAAACAAAACAAAAAACAAGATGAGGGTTAAAATTGATGTCTGTCGCACATGATAAGCAAGAAAATTCGGTTAAACAGCTCAAAATGATCTTTTATATACAGCTCAGATCCATTTCTTCCTAGTTTATAGTAAGTCAATTTTCAGAACTCTTGCACTGTAATTATATTGATGTCTGATTTATTTATAGAACTTGTATTGAGGTGACATTGTCCTTAATCTAATTGCACATGCGCTCTCAAAACTTGATATTCATATATTCATAAAGTTTGCCTTGTTCTTTTTGATAATTTAAGTCACTGCCACATGTTCAAAGGAGTTTCAAGTTGTTTTTATACTGTAATAAAACTGTTAAGATTGTCTTTGTTTCCGTCTTTATTGCGGTTTTGAACTTGACATTTCTTTTTAAAAATGTTTGAAGGTGTACTTAATGGTCGTCCATGTGCCGATTACAGGTCAATTTACATAACATTTCCTTTGAAATGTAATAGTACGGCATGTTTGAATTCCTCTGTCACCATTACCAGGATATAATTGAGAATAACAGCATTATTATTATGAATAAAAGATTCAGGAGGCAAACCACACAGGTTTATTATGTCAAGTTCAAGACAGCATCCGCACAGTCTGATCAGGATCCATGCTGTTCGCTGTCAGTTACTCTAGTTTTTATAGAGTTTGTAAGCGAACAGCATGGATCCTGATCAGACTGCACGGATTATGTTGGTTTTGTCATGGCACGGCTCATATTATGAAATGCACCAGTCAAATGTAGCCCGTCTGCCCGCTCAACTTCAGGCAGGTCGAGAAAAATAGTGAGCCAAGTTTGTTTTTTAGGGTTTGCTAATGTTCAGAAGGGCAATTCACAGGGACCTTTTCAAACAGTTAAAAAAAACCAAAGGAGGGGGGGGGGTAGGTAAGGGCATGGGGGGATTGGGGCAGGTAAGGGCATGGGTTGCAATGGACTGGTATACAGATAATTATATATATGAGTTACTTAAGTATATAAGGTCAATGACTATGGAAATGCAATGGCAGCTGTGGTATAGTGGTTAGCATTCAGGACCAGCAATCTCAGCTGAGACCCTTGGTTCGAGTCTTGGCTGCGGCATGCAGATTTTTTGTGTGATAATATATATATATTATATCTGCATGAAGTTAAATTACAGTAATGATACTTTTAAATCTAACATTACAATTCAATGAATTCACAAGTTTCTCATTTAGTTTGACCTTCTCAGCCATTAGTGGTATTAAATTAAATTTCCTGACACAAGATGAATATTGCAAGAAAATACTGATATTCGAAATTACATCTATTTTCACAACAATCTGGAGGCGTTTTTGATTGAAACGACAAATTCTCATATGGTAAGGTTGACATTTATCTTTAAATGAGGATTCGATTTGATAAGAGACAATATTTAAATATAAGTCGGGGAAAATTTATTTCTTAAAGTAAAAGAGGATGTTATAATTATTCTTCATAGTCTTAATTGTGTTTATTCTCATTTCCCAAGGACATTGACATTGGTTTACTTAGGTCATCATAAACTTTGGTCATCATAAAAGTAAGACTCTCACTTATATATGACCGTCTTTAAACATAGGTCATCCTAAAAGGACCTTTAAGTTTAAACTTATGTCAGTAAGCTCACTTTAAACTTAAGGCAGAACTAATCTCAACTTAAACCTGAGATACCTTAAGTTTATTAACCTTAAACTCTCCTAAAAGTTAAAATAAGGAAAAGTTAAAAGTTAGATTAACATAAGCTAAGCTAACATTAAAATTAGGTTTGCTTAATAAAAATTAGTTGAAGTATTAACACCAAACAGCCATAGCACTTTCATGGCTGAATGGTTAAGAGCGAACATTTTGAAACACTTGCCCCCTCAATGGTGTTGGATTCTTTCTTTCTTTCTTTTAGATCCAGCTTAGGTACAGAACTTAATTGATTATTCTATTCAGGTGTCTGCTTGTGCAGCGGTCTTCCTCCGACAGTAAAGCTGGAACTTATTCCACCAGTAAAGCTGGAACTTACTCCACCAGTAAAGCTGGAACTTACTCCACCAGTAAAGCTGAAAAGTCACCTATCAAAAAAAAAAAAACACTTCTGTAAATATTTTCTCTGATCTATATTTTGACATTCAGGGACTGAACAAATTCATTTTCATGACTTTTCTATGATAATTTTAGACTAACATCTTTTTTCATATTAATCCCTTTAGGTTAATATCTTTTCTTTATATTCTAGTCCCTTTAGGTTAAAATGTAGATGTTTTGCCTGAATTAACAAAACTTAATACTTATATATAAATGAAATTTGTCTCTTCTTTTAAAGAGTTACATAATTAGATTGTCTATTCTTCAAGCAACAGTGTTTTGAAATTGTGTCATAAACAGTGTTGACATGGTGTGTATGTCAACTTGCTTGGTGATTTTGTTCTTCTTTAGAAAGGGCATACATGAATTTTATAATGTTTAAATAATGGTTTTAGAGCATGTGAGATGTTTGTTACGTGAAAAAGGGGGCACTAAATGTGATGTAATATGTCGTAAATATAGCAAACTGTAAACAAAAAAGTATTTTTGCCAAAAAGCAACACAAGAAAAAGATGGTTTTTGGGTCGTCTTTACTGCACCGATATATAAAAAAAAATTACAAACTGCTCTTCTTATAGACAGTGATGGTTTTAACTACCGGGTATTCCCGCATTGGTTTAAACTATTCATGCATTAATTGTTTTGAATTATTCCTGTAAAATGACAGATATTATCGGTCTTGCAAATGATAATGGGTAGGTTCAGAAATGTCATTAACAGTAAATCATTTTGTTTATTCACCATACATCATCAGTTTTAAGCTTTCAGGGAAATGATTTGATCTTTATTTCTATAAACATTGCATTAAAAGATCAATTATATATGACATTTTTGTGCTGATTTGACATGACCACTTCATCATATTCATCCATTAGTGAAGAAGTCAGCTGTAAAATGTTCCAAGGTTTATGTAATTGAAATATCTTGCATATTTCTTGGTAACAGAGCAAATGTTATTGTTTTTTAAGCTCACTTGAGCTCATAATGCTCTGGTGAGCTTTTAGGGTTGCTGGTTGTCTGTCCATCATCTGTCTGATCACAATGGTTTCTTATTAACATCTTTTCTGAAACCACTGAGCTGAGCTTGATGAAATTTGCCTGAATTGTTCCTTGCTTGAAACTCGACAAATACTTAACAAATTGCTATGGTTATCTACATACATGTATTTGGGACACATTCAAATCTTAAAATGAATAATGTGTAAATCCCCTAGAGTTTTGATATTTAAGAAATAGCATAAACTGATAAACCACGACCAAGCCTGTTTAGATCATCAGATGCCAAGGTCAAAATATTAAGATACTGGCAGCTTAAAATTAACTTTGGGAAAGGTCTAGGTCACGAAGGCTAAAAATAGGTTTTCTCCTTTTCACCATAGAGTCCCAATGGTTTGAGTTGAGATTGCACAGGTCATGGTAGATATGACTGTATTTTATGTTTTCATTGGGTATCATCAGAGATTGTGAAATACAGTCTAACTTGCCCATGCGACCACGTGTCTTAAGCGACTTTTGTCTTAAACGACCACTTTAAATTCCCCCCGATCTTTTTCTCTCTATATCTTTAATGTATCAAGCGACTTTTGCTTAACGCGACCAGCGACCGCTAATTAGTCACCTAATTGAGATCAATCTTTTCATTAAACGACCACTTTTACCTGTCAAGTAATTGCATGTGTTTTTAGAGAACGCCATCTCGTAATGTCACAAGTGTCAACAATCAAAACACAACAAATAAACGTGTGAAAAACTCTATTTCCCATACCGTTTTAGCGTATGCAAATGAAGTTAAGTATACGCGTGACGTGTATAATCCAATATTATCGGATAAACAATGCAACACTCCGCCCCTACTGAGATGGTGTATACGCTTCGCTTGTTGACATTTAGACTGTATTGAATTGACCTTGAACTTGAACAGCCATTAAATTAATCGTAACAATTAGATGTAGTTTGTTTATATCAAATGAAAAAAATGCACAACAGAAAACATCTTCACTAATAGGGTTTTCGTGTTGGAGACAAGGAAAAACAACGGAGAAGTTAAAAAATTCTGGAAAAAATGTCAAACATGTACGTAATGGATAAACTGTTTTGTCAATAAATATCAGAAATTATTTTTTACATTTGCATCCATTTAGATTATCGGAGCGTACTTATTATTCAACATTTATATAAAAATGAAGTTGAAAAACATTCCCAACGCATTAAAAAAGATGTCATTTATAAATTTTGACTTATATCATGCTGACTGTCTTAAGAGACCGTTTTATTAAGCGACCATTTTGGGTGTTTCCCTTGCGCGGTCGCTTAATACACGTTTGACTGTAGTTCCAGTCTTTAGTTAATCATTTGCTGAATTCCACCAGAGATTCCTTCATGTGAGGAAGCTATTGAGCTAGCTTACAGAACATCAGTGGTTCTACTCAGGTGCTCATACGTTTTTGAAATAATGTATAAAAGCACACCTAAGGTTGTCTTCCACCAGTAAAGTTGGAAAGACTCTGTATATATAACCTTCACTGTGTCAGTGTGACAAAATAAGGTAACAGTTCCAGTCTGCACTCAGGTGAGAGATAAAAGGCCAATCATGGACATCTTGTTTGGCATCTTATCAAGGTTATCATAACTTGTAGAAATTATATTTGTTCATATCATTCACCTAAATAACTTGACTTGTCATTATTTCAGATCATATTTTAAGTGGTAATTTTGCCTACAGGTTAACTATGTTTCTCTGCATCTCATGATTTTATCACTATTTCCCTTTATATAATATATAGGAACATTTACATTGCTGAGTGTAATGTTTTGTAAAAAATGCTAAGCCATCGTTTCATTTCATATATTCTTTCATATTCAATGAAAATAGATATAATTAGATATTTTTAGATAGATTTTCAAATTTATTGTCATGGAGAACAATTCATTTCTTTTAATATTAGTTTTTTCAAAATTGTTAAAGATTGCGTTACCAAGATCTTTATTACTTTAACATACGATATTTCTGGTTTTTTTTTACTTATCTTAATTCTTAACATCATTCTGTCATTTTGATATGAGGATTTCGTGAAAATTAAAAATTATTTCAGTTTCTTTAAAAAAAAAAGATCTTGAAAATGGAATGTTTTGAAGGAATGAATTGATCTCCATCTCAGGTACTTTAATCCCAACCTGCATGATCAATTTCCTGCATCTTAATAGCTTTTTGTTTCTCTTCTTTTTCTTTTCAGAAGTGCGTCTCCCCCAAAACCGATCCTGTCTGTTAGTCCACCAAAAATCACCAGCAAGGTCATAGCTGGCCTGCTGAGGATGTCGACAGGCTTATCATCTCAAACGACCTTGACCCCGGACACTCCTCCCTCACCTCCGACCTCTGCACTGCCTGATAGCTTGTGATCTATTTATAGCACAACCTTCACCTTTGACCTTCATTGCACAAGGTGAACTAGCTAGATACAATGGAATAGTCTTGTAACTCAGTTGGGTGTAATGGTATCATATTAAAGTTCAAGTCCTCAAAAAATATTAATTGGCTGTAAAGCCTTTGAATTGTTTTGTTGTTAATTTTTTTCAAATATGCAAAAATATTTATCCAAAAAAATCAAAGCTTGTTTGTTGCATAATGCTCTAGTATTTATGACTTAAAAATATCAGAAGATCATAAAATTATTTTTGTGATGTATTACATTCATTCCCTTGAAGTCAGTCATTTGGCATTTTCAATTAAAAAATATTATTTACATTAAAAGCATCAAACTATAAAATTACCTTCATAACAAGACAATTATAAAATGACTCCCTGTAGGACAGGACTTTAGTATTTTTTCCTATATTTTGGTCAATGTGTAACAAAATCTGTTAAATGTTGAATTTATTGTTTCAATTAATATTCTGTTAGACTGATTAGTTATGTAAACAATTGTTTGTTAGTGACTATGGTTATGGGTTAATACTTTAAATCAAGAAAACTGTAAGATTATATAAAGCAATTAAATTCATATGGTCAGATCATATTGCCTGGCATAAAATGTCAAGTATATGGTCAGATCATATTGCCTGACATTAACTGCCAAATATTTGGTAAGATATTGCCTAGCAATTTAACTGTCCAATATTTGGTCAGATCATATTGCCTGGCATTAACTATCCAATATATGATCAGATCATATTGCCTGGCATTAACTGTCCAATATATATGATCAGATCATATTGCCTGGCATTAACTGTCCAATATATGGTCAGATCATATTGCATGGCATTAACTGTCCAATATATATGATCAGATCATATTGCCTGGCATTAACTGTCCAATATATATGATCAGATCATATTGCCTGGCTTAAACTGTCCAATATATATGATCAGATCATATTGCCTGGCATTATCTGTCCAATATATATGATCAGATCATATTGCCTGGCATAAACTGTCCAATATATATGATTAGATCATATTGCCTGTCATTAACTGTCCAATACTATAGTATATATTATCAGATCATATTGCCTGGCTTAAACTGTCCAATATATATGATCAGATCATATTGCCTGGCATTAACTATCCAATATATGATTAGATCATATTGCCTGGCACTAACTGTCAAATATTTGGTCAGATATTGCCTGGCATTAAATGTCCAATATATGATCGGATCAAATTGCCTCGCATAAACTGTCCTATATATGGTCAGATCATATTGCCAGGCATTAACTGCCCAATATATGGTCAGATATTTACTAGCATAAAATGTCCAATATATGATTAGATCATATTGCCTGGCATTAACTGTCAAATATTTGGTCAGATATTGCCTGGTATTAACTGTCCAATATATGGTCAGATCATATTGGCTTGCATAAACTGTCCAGTATCAATTGAACAACTTCTAGAAGGAAATGCATTTAATTTAATTTAATGCATTTTATTTATGTGAGTGTATATAAAAAAACAAAAATTAATTAAGCCAACATTAATGATAAAGTCCTTATGTTTTAGTATCCAAAAAATTGTAGAGAATAGGATCCAATTACTAATTAGAGTGGATTTGTTTGTGGATATTATAATGTAACATTGATATAATAGTCCTTTTCATTATGTCCGCATGGTCAAGGTCATTGACCTCTATCAATTTTATAGTCCAATCCAACAATTCTTTCTTTTGAGGAAGCTATATCCTGCTAGCTTATAAACCATTGGTCGTTAAACTACGAAAAAAAATACAAACAAAGAAACGGAAATAATAAGGTTTATTTGCTAAGACATTTGGGTCATTAAATTAATATAATCACCAAAGCAGGCCCGAGTGATTTTATACTGTGCCGTAATTATTTTCCACACGAGTACCTTTGATCGTAGCAATATTATTAAAATGGTCTCATTCATGAAATAAAGTATTGATATTCTGTCAGTTCAGATAGGTTTTTTTCCTTTTTTATCTAGTCTATTTTTGGAAATGAGGTGATAAATTTATGATTAAATCGGCACACCTAGAATGTGTGAGATATTAATGTTCCTGGAAGGAAGTTGAAAACATTATAATTGGATGTATTCAATTTAATAAACAATAAAGTTGCGAAAGTATCTTGTTTGAACAGGATGTTTCCGACACATGATGAAACTGTCACGCCTGAATATCTTAAATTTAATACTGAATTACGTTAACAAAACTGGTATTTTAAAGATGTTTTGTCGACTATCGTTAAATAATGTGAAACATGTATATAAATGCTGATGGTCAACCCGTACCTTGAATGGGCTTGACCATCAGCCGGTCTGGACAAAACCATTTATCATTTTTAGGGAAAATTTCAAAAGAAGTCTCCAAAAGCAAACAGTGTAGACCATGATCAGAAGGCACAGATGTGCTAGCCAGACCATGATCAGAAGGCACAGATGTGCTAGCCAGACCATGATCAGACGGCACAGATGTGCTAGCCAGACCATGATCAGAAGGCACAGATGTGCTAGCCAGACCATGATCAGAAGGCACAGATGTGCTAGCCAGACCATGATCAGAAGGCACAGATGTGCTAGCCAGACCATGATCAGAAGGCACAGATGTGCTAGCCAGACCATGATCAGACGGCACAGATGTGCTTGCTGATCTTGGTCTGCATTGGTCACATGGGTATATTATCTTTTAAAGTCAGTAAGCTTAAGTTTAAGACAATGAAAAAATAATGCAGTGGTAACAAAAAGAATGTCTTTTTTATATTGCATAATTTATGGTAAAAAAAAAAATTGTTAAAAACCAGTTATGAAAGAATCAAATACCCAAACTATAAATAAAAGAAAAGCAATGATATGCTGAAAATCAGGGCAATGTGGGCTACAATAAGAAAGAAAAATTAATTTATCTGTACTAATTGAAATGTATGTTTTTTGTAGATATAACTTCGGAAAAAGGTTAATTGTGAAAACTCATTTTAGATTTAATGTTGTAGCTGTTTTATTTGTAAGGTTGAAAAGACTATTCCATTTGTATGCAAAGTTTTGCTTTATTAACTGTCTTTGTTTGTATGTAGCATACTTTAAAACTGACGTAAAATCTAGAAATAACACTGTTTATTTATTAATTGTAACATAAATACATTACCCTTATATAATCAACTTATAAATTCAAACTGTACTTTATGTATACATGTATAATGTAAATGATTTCTAATTGGCTTTTCTTCATTTAATTAAAAAACTGAAAATTGGGTCAACATTTCTTGATGATATCTGGATATGTGTAGACACATATAATCAATGGAAAAGTTAAATGGTGGGTGTCTTTGACTGTAAACCACTTGCCCCTCTCCACTGTGGGTTCAAATCCAGTGAGGGACTTTGGATTCTTTCATGTGAGGAAGCTGTCCAGCTAGCTTACGGAATGTTGGTGGTTCTACTCTGAGGTGCCTATTTGTGTCTGAAATAATGCACGGAAGGGCATCTGAGGTTTGTCATCATATGACCTCTATTGTGTTCATTGCGACATTTAAAACCCAACCAAAAAAAAAACGAGAAAATAATTGGCAAGTACTTGACATAGAGGGCAGCACTGGTACTGAATTGTAAGATTATAAGCTCTTATAGAGCCAGAGAAACCATCAAAGAACAATAAAGTACATGAAGCCAAGTTTAATTACAAAGTATTTCGAGAAACTTTTATACGTTTATGATTGGTTTATCAAAAGTATGCTATATACTGTCAAGGTATTCTTAATGCGCTTGCTGTGTTTTTGTCTTTTAATGTTTGCTGATATATTTTACAATATATGACTTTTTCAGATATTATTATATACACTGAATTTATGTATCATTTCATTTTATATATTTATTGTAAAGCTTATTCTGTCTAAGATATTTATTGTTTAGTTTTGTTATTTATTTTAAGGGCTTGGTGCAAAATAGTTGTAACTTGTATCGAATATCCTCCAGGGCATACACTTTTTTGCCACTGACTTGGAACCCCTTGTCTGTCACATGCCATAAAGTCAAATTGAGTCATGAACTTTTTGATTTATTTTTTTTTTTCATTAAAAAAACAATACACATAGCTTTTGCTACTAAGCTGCCCATTGACAAGCCTGAATTTAGCGCCAACTTTGTTGCACAAGGTTTTCTTCCATGTTTTAAATGAGCTAAAAAGTCGCAATTTGAAATTAATAAAAAAAAAAGAAGAGTTACAACTGTTTTGCCCCAATTTCTTAAAGCTTTAAAACATTTCTTATAGGCACAGGTAAGTATAAAATTAAGCACATTTGCAAATTAAGTCATCAAATTTAAAAATGAAGTAAAATTCTGACCAGGTAGATCGAGTAATCAGGATGAGATTGTAATTGGGCAAATGATGGATTTTACGTATTGAAACATATTATTATTATTTTTTTTTGTAAAAAGCAAGGTAAATCGTCACCTTAGTGCATTAACTGTTTAACTCCTATGAAATTGAGGACTTTACCCCTTTACTGCACTAAGGTGACGATAAGGTGCAGTAACTGAATTAGTTCTTCCAAATTTAATAGGAGCTATTAATCAGTTATTGAACAAAGGTTTCCATATTGTAACAATTATCGTAGTTCATGTATATAAAAATTTCAAAACCTATTTATACTTATCATTTTTCATAAAAAAAAAATAAAAAAGTTCACTGTTAAGTTATGATGCAAGAATAGTTTCAAGTTTCAGAATTTGATTTTTACAGACATTTTCGTATTATGATTTGAATAAAAAACGTTTTTATGATGTCATTTTAGTGAAATTATCCAATTATATCAGAGACACAAAGACTTAGATGCAGTCTCAAATTGTTTTTATGCATTTTATATTGCTTCCTCTTAATACAGAAATTTAATTTTATTAACAATCTTCTTTCAAAATAATCATGTTTCCAAAAACAACATTTTGTCCTGCATTTTTATGTTTCTCAAAATAGCGACACATTGACGTAACTTTCACAGAAAACATTTTGAATTCGTATTTTCCAACCCCAGTTTCTTTCCAAAAATGTCAGTTTCATCGTCAACCATTTTTGTTTTTCTTCCTGTAGCAAAGACGGAAGAAAGATGTCCATTTCTCATCAGAAGTGCGTAGTTGTGCAATAGTGTGTTGAGTTTTGACCATCTTAGCCTTAGGGTTGCACCCCCTCCAATTGTTCAGTGTTCAAAACTGTTTTTTTTTCTCATTTTAAAGCTGTATTCATGATTAAAGAGGTATTGCCCAAGCAGTCTAACTTGGGTCTATTAAAGATTGATCCATAGCATTATTTAAAATGGGGGCTTATTTTGATTTATGTGTGAATTTATGATAGAGACGAATTGATAGAGGTGGTTTCTGCAGGTCAGAACATCTTCAAAGAGGCTGAGCTAGTTATGTGACAATCATGTGACAAATACTTTTACTTTCCCATAATCATTACAAAAATAAAGTTTTTTAATATAAATTTCATGACAACTGACCCATATGCAAAAAATTTTGATGATCAGTGTTAAGCAGACTCTTTTGAGGTTAAGGTCACTGACAGAACAGAAAGTTTTGAACACCGAACGTTTGTTTTTCTGCCTCGCTTTGACCTACTTCCATTATTCATACATTTATTATTATTATATAATAGTTAACTGGATATGATGTCATCACATACATTTTCTTGAAATATTTTTAGGAGAAAAAAATCCGTATATCAATGTATATAATGCATGCATGATGTAGTTAACTTACCAAAATTAGAGTCCATCTATGGTGTGATTTACAAAATAAATATTGTGTTGACCCATGTATTGCACTTTTGTTTTGTTTTTTTGAACACAGTTTATGAACATTTTCGGACTTTCTATTTTCATTCTTTTGTAGCTATTCTTAAAGTTTTTTTTCCTTTCTTTTATTATGTCTAAACATTTTAATAGATATTCTCTAAACTCTATATTGTGTAAAATATGTCATTATTGTAAAACCTAGTTTTGATGCATTTGAAAACTTGATAGACATGTATATACATGTATATACATGTATTTTATTTACAAAATTTCTTTGGCACATTTTATCATGTCACTTTTGTTGAACAAAAAAGCTTCTTTTATTAAAAAAACAATTAGTATATTATTTTATATTTATTCATAGCAAAGCAAAAAATTATTTTTTTTATGTTACCTGCTATTTAATAACATTATTATGAATATATTAAACAAACTGTGGTATATATGTAATTGAATTAGTTTACTGAAAGTTATTTTTGTTATTCCATCCTTTATATTACAATACATGGGGAGTATTTTGTACGTAAATAAATTGGTTTAGGTCATTGCCACATGGTCATATCTTTTTCTGTGTTTCGATGATATATTTATATATATATTTATATGACAGTCATAGTAATAAGTGGCTGGACTTTGTTACATGTGGGTGAAGATTATTGAACTTGTATATTTACAAACAAGTTCCTTCAGATCAACACTTTATATGCATTACTCATTTAATTAGACAACTTTTCTTTTTGCTGATATGTAAACAAATCAAAAACCATGAGTGATTACTTACTTAGCTTGTGGGTGAATGTTATTGCCCTTTTCGATATAACTCAAGTGTTTACAAACCTGTTTCTTCAGGTCAAAATTTTACAATTTTTCACAATGGAACATAAATCATTGCCCTTTTTTTCACAAAAAGAGAAAAATATTTTGAAAAGTATCTGTAGGTTATTAACTGCTGTTCTTTGAACAACATGATTTTCTTGCTTTTATGACATTTAAATGCCTGCAAATTTGAAAAACCTGAGAATGAGTTATCTTTAAATAAACATTGTTGTATATTTACTGTAACTGATTGCCACGATAAATTCTTTTCAAAAATAATTAGATATCAAACTTAAATGATTGGTTGTTAGAAGTGAATCAAAGGGTGCTTTTTAGCTCGACTTTTCTATGAAAAGGGGAGCTATCCTACTCGCCCCGGCGTCGGCGTCGGCGTCGGCGTCGGCGTTAGCGTTGGCGTCACACCTTGGTTAAGTTTTTCGTACCACCCCACTTTATTTCAGAAGTATTACAAGTATGGCTTTGAAACTTACCATACTTGTTCACCATCATAACCTCCATCTACAGACAAGAGTACATAACTCTGTCAAGGTTTTTGACAGAATTATGGCCCTTTTTTGACTTAGAAAGTGTATTGAGCTTGGTTAAGTTTTTTGTACCACCTCACTTTATTTCAAAACCATTGGAGGTATTGCTTTGAAACTGACCATACTTGTTTACCATCACGACCTTCATCAACAGACATGAGGACATAACTCTGTCAAGGTTTTTGACAGAATTATGCCCCTTTTTGACTTAGAAAATACATTGAATATGGGTAAAATCCACTTATTGCCTTAACCCTTTGAGATATTGCTTTGAAACTTTTAATGCTATTTCACATCATTACCCCCATCTGTACGCAAGAGAAGGTAACTCTGTCAAGGATTTGTTTTAAAAATTAAGGCCTTTTATCGACTTAGAATCTTGGTTAAGTTTTTAGTACCAGTCCACTTTTTGACTGAACTGTTTGAGATATTAATTTGAAAGTTGGAATACTTGTTTACAATCATGATTCCCAAACATGTCCAGGAGAAGGTAATTCTGTCAAAGATTTTATTTGAAATTATGGCCCTTAACTGTCAATGTTTTGTATTATAGGCAAGCACTAAAAAACTTAAAAAATCTAAAAAAATTCATTCCTATCCACTTGTTCACTTTACCATAAATTATGTCATATAAACATTGCTGTAAGGGTATCACACAATTCAGTAAAATAATTCTTCACTAAATATCTTAATGCTCATGGCCATTGTTCACTTTAAAAATACAGAGATTCTTGTATTGCCTTTTACTGCAAAAACTTTTTTTATTGGCAAGCAATAAAAAAGTCGAGCGCGCTGTCTTACGGACAGCTCTTGTTTATTGGTAAAGTATCTTTTCAAATTTTTTGACCTTCACCTTTTGTTATATTATTTAATTTTTTTCTTTAATGAATTAGATGTTTAATCTTAGAAAAATAAAGAACTTTCAAGAAAATTTCCAACATAAACTCATCTTTATGAATTTTTGTTTTTCAGGTACACTAAAGTCCTTAAAATGTGAACAAAATTCTCCCTCATGACAGTTATTTAGGTCAACCTTACAACCAATCAGAGCAGAGGATTCTACAGGAACCAATCAAATCTTGGGGAAATGTTTCAACCAATCAGATACCTTTTTACAAGACTGAACAAAAATTGTATCCAATCAGAAGTTGTTTTAAGCAATACTTGGCCATTGATCTGGACTTGATCAACCAATCAATATGTGATATTTTTTTAAACAAAAAAAAGAAAGAAAAGCAAAGAGAAAATAATGATACATGTACATACAAAACTATCATAATCTTAGCAAAGCATCGTTTTGAATAAACCTTGGAAACCAAAATATTGTGATAAAAAACAACACTGTACCATAAAAAATACCATGATGACCTTCAATTTTATATCGGGTACCTTGAGTGAAGTTTGATTATTCTACATATTAAATTCATTTTTAATTTTCAATTTGATTAATTGTTGAAAAGAAGCAGTTGCCCTTAATTTCATTTCTCAATTTATGTGACTAACTAAACACAGTCCAAAGAAATGTTTAGTTCATTTAAATTTTTCAAGCATTCATGCATCTGTTTAGATTTGATAATGTTTTGTTGACTTTTTGAGTGTACTCAGTTTTCCAGTGTGGATGAATTAAGGTAGCTTACTGTGATACTATAAAGGGATATAAAGGTAGGATTTTTATGATGGAAAAAAAGCAAAAAATAACAAAAAGAAACAATAAGTTTATTCACTAACACAGGACAATATATGAGATAGTTGGGTTTGATTGACAAGAAGTTGGATTCTGAAGTAATTTGGAACAATGCCTCAAGTTGTATTGCAACAAAGCCTCAATATTTAGTATTTGTAAAAGCAAAGATTTATGTTAATGATGTATTTGTCAAAGCAATTAGCGGGTTTGTTGAATACTGAATTTTATGACTTGTTGTTGAACATTAGTAAAGTTTTGAAATAGCTATTTGATGCAAGAAAGTGTTTGAAAATATACCTTTATATCCTTTTAATATAGAATTATGTGATAGATACTTTTATTATGAAAATATACTGACCTTTGCACTAACAGAGCTCTATACAATATTAGCCTGCAGAATCTAATATAACTGGACTCCCTGAACTGGACAGTAATTTGACCTGCAATTTGACTTTTGTTTATTCTGTTACTAGGGGGCCTCTTTGGCATAGTGGTTAAGGTTGCTGCAAACTGCCTGTCACTACTTTGGGTTCAAATCTCATCAGTTAAAAAAACTGAATCATTTGAAATACAATTCAATGATAACTTCGTTTTTGTTTCGGTTCTTTTTTGTTTGCGAGGGTGGGGGGAGTGGAAGGGGGATGTTTATTTTAATATTCAAGGTGTATAATTATAAATATCTCTTTTTCTGCATTTTACGATTGTCAGTATATTTTCACACTTTAAGTATTCTCTTATTTTACAAAATCAGATTTTTATGTGATATACATGTATATATACAATTATATTTTTATATACTTAATTTTTTTATACTGTATTATATCTGATTTCTTATTTTACATCTGCATTTTTGACAAAGTTGGATTTTAAAACAAGACTTAAATATCTTTAGTAGAAGATGCAGTTTATAAATATTTTGTATGAAAAAAATGCTTCAAACCAATTGCACAGCCCTAGCTCAATCATAGATCCAGGCTGGTTTACACCCAATAGTCTTAAGACTCTATTCATTGTTTGAAATTTCTTTTTTGACTACCCGAAAAATTGATAATGGATGGTTCCGTTTTGCAAGCTGGTGAAATCTATTATAAGAAAATTGGCAGGATTAGGTTTATAATTATACATTTTGTTGCAGAAATTGGCACCATAAATATACTAGATTTCTAGACATTTTTTGTCTATTTAATTTTTTTCTTCAAGTAATAAGTATGTCTGCAAGATATTTTTTAATTTGAAATTGTAGCCAAAGAAAGAAAAGATATCAAAATTACTTATGTCTTACATTTTATTTGTTGAGAAAAGCTATTAAAGAAAACAAATATTGTAATAACCTAGACAAAAATAGGATGTAGCAAAAACAGAGGTTTGGCTACAATGTTTTATTGGTTATTGACCTTATGCTTCTTAGTTTTTACTGTTGCTTTTCAATTTACAGACTTTAGTCTTTGATACAATTAATCAAAGTACTGACTGATTAGTAATCGCTGAATTTCTTAAGTGAACTTGTCCAACCTCAAGTTTGGAGCTGCCCATTATCAATTTTAGGGATATCAAATTCTGAAAATATGTCGGGCAACAGTATATAGCATGGTCAGACTCTACTATTGCACAGTCTGGCTTGGCTTTGTGCTGGTGGCCATGGCCAGTCACTTGGTTCCAGCAGGGTAAGGTAATTTGTGATTTTTCAACTCAAATGAAAAGAAAATAATATGCTCCTTTTGGGATAAAATTAATACATTTTTAACAGTATAATTCAATTAGTTTTGCTTTTAACCATCCTCTACAATTTTTCATGGTATCAAATATTATTTGAGCTGCGTCATGACAAAACCAACGTAATGGGATTGAGACCAGCATGGATCCAGACCAGCCTGCGCATCCGCGCAGTCTGATCAGGATCCATGCTATTCGCTTACCAACTCTATTACAAGTAGAGAAACTGATAGCTTACAGGATGGATCCTGATCAGACTGCGCGAATGCGCAGGCTGGTCTTGATCCATGCTGGTCGCAAACCCATTATGTTGGTTTTGTCGTGACGCAGCTCAATTATATATTAAAGTTGTGAGTGCCGCACACCTAGGCTGGCCAAACAAATTTTTTAAATTATTTTTGAAAAACATCAAATTTTTTAGTAATTGTGAAACGTGTAAATTAATTCAAAGTTGAAATATAGAAACAAATTTACGTACTTTTTAAATATTTATATTTCAAACCTGATTTGCCAATTTCAGTCTCATTTTCAGCACAAACAAAATAAAAATATTTTTTTTATATAATGACTAAATCTGCTATTTTTGTCATATCTCTACATATTACTGGATATTTTTGCATATTTTGACAAATTTATGTTAATTAATATAATTTTTTATGACTTCTATTCTATCTAAAGTTACCTTATAATTCTTTTAATATTTAGAACACTGCAACATTTTCTTTTTCATGGGAGCCTACACAGTGTTGATTTTGAAGTGCACTTTTCTTATGAAAACAGGAAGAACATGTCTACATGTATTGTTTGTGGTGGAGTAAAGCATTTAATACTACCCTTGGAAATTACCTATAAGTATAAATATATACAACTGGCTCTTGCACAGGGTAGATAGAAATATGGTGATTAATTGGTTAATTAGAAATATAATGATTAATTAGAAATATGGTGATTTATTAGAAATATGGTGATTAATTAGATATATGGTGATTAATTTAGTAGTAATATAACTGAGTCAAAGTTTGTATATTACATGTAAAGTGTCAATTAGATTATCCCCGTTAAAAACCAAAACAAACGCACAAGCAAAACAAAATGAATACTTAAACATTTCTTTAACTATTAATTTATTTTTTCTGTTGTGAGATATTTTGAAAGTTCGTTTGAAAATCTGGAGGATGCTACTTTAATAAATGAGACAATTAAGATTATGAGTAAAAATCGCATGTTGACATTAGAAAAAAAAGTTTTGGTTCAGATAATTGACTTTGATGATATTTTATCATATATTTCTGAGGTATGAAATTTGAGAAAGTTTTATTTAACATTGTTATGTATGAAATTTGTGTATGATAATGAATGTTCAGCTTTAACTTAAGAATTACAGAATGTTTGTGGTTCTTCTGAGGTGCCAGTTCCTGACTAAATGAGGCATAAAATGGCACACGAGGTCAGACATTGCAAATAAATTTAGAAAAGTTGCCATATGACCTTAAAAGTGTTGATGTGCTATTGAACACAACAAAAGATTCCAAGAAGATAATTATATATTTATACATTATCTAGTACAGTAATTGTGATTTTATACCTATAATTCGTCCATTATTTATACAGTATTAGAATTTTTGTTTCGTTTGTTTATTGTGTACGTCTTTGTCTTTTATGTTCACCTGTGTTGTGTACAAGCATTTTTAGAAAAAATTATTTTAATAAAAAATATTAACTTAAAAATTATTTTGCTTTTCTTTTTCTTTGTATGAATTTCAAACCATACCGGGAAATGTTTTACTGGTGTAACCTTACCAAGGTCTGCAAAGATGAAAATAATATTAGTATTTTGTCTTGTTTTGTCCAAACGAAAATTTCAGATTTCAAGCAAAGAATGATTACTCTTATTAACATGCTATACTTCTGCTTTTTCCAGAACTATTGCAAAAAATAAACCAATAAATAAAATGAGCCGCGTCATGACAACACCAACGTAATGGGTTTGCGACCAGCATGGATCCAGACCAGCCTGCGCAGTCTGATCAGGATCCATGCTGTTCGCTATCAGTTTCTCTACTTGTAATAGGGTTTGTAAGCGAACAGCATGGATCCTGATCAGACTGTGCGGATGCGCAGGCTGGTCTGGATCCATGCTGGTCGCAAACGCATTATGTTGGTTTTGTCGTGACGCGGCTCAAATGTGAGATGTCCGTGATCTAGTGCTTAATGTCGAGGACTGAACCACTTTTCTTTCCCTCAACACTGTGTTCCAAACCCGCCACGCACTTTGGATTCTTTCATGTGAGGATGCTATGTAACGTGTTTTGTTCTAGTCGGATGGCTGCTGGAGGGACATCTGAGGTCTTGTTTTACCCATAAAGCTGGAAAGTCGCCATATGATCTTTACATAAAGTGTCGGTATGACTTAAACCCCAACACAAAAAACAACACGTGATCTACATACTCTCATACTGATCACAAGATTTCCATTATATATTATGTCAGTTCTTTCATATTTTTTTCAATAGTTTGTGTTCTATCAAAATCAGAAGATAGTCTGTAATATTGCCTAATAAGCTCCGCGGGGAGTGTGGCAGGAAGATGCCAATATGATTGCGCCCAAGTGAAGAGATTTTACTCTGGATTTGCTGATGCAGAGACTTTAAAAACTGGAGCATTCCGACTAAGTCTTGCATTAAAATTCCCTTTATTGTACTTGACCGACTTTACGTTTAATGTGTGCACTGCTCTTACTGTTATTTTTTAAGTGCACATCGCTAAAAAGGGTTTCAATTGAAGCAAAAAGCATTTGATGTCATGCAAACAAATAGATAATCCACACAATTTACCAAAGTATTGATAAAAAAGGAGAAATAAAGAATAATTTATGAATGTAATGATTTTGCTAACGCAATTATATTTTTTATTGACATCGTAACTTTGGATTCTAAGATTTATCAGTAAACGCCACAATGGCTAGATGTTTTAGTTATGCTCGCACCTGAGTACCATTTGATGAGTTTTAAGTTGTTAAAACTTTCACGGTTGTCTGTATAGTTTATACAGATGAAGAAAGTTATTATTATAGACACTCGAATCTGTTCCTGGAGCCAACCAGTACTAAGCAATGAGTGTACAGAGTGTTTCTTGTGCAAGAAAACCAGGCTTGCCCATCACGGGGTTTGTCCTGGTATGGTGAGAGAACCTTAGATTTCTAGTCTGGCGCGTAAACCAATCGGCCATGCCGCCACACATTTAATACCAGTTCACCAGGTGGGTTCGAACTATATAAATGGAATAAGGTGGGGTAACATAAAATGTAAATCTATTACATAGATCAACTGGGACACTTAAATACGGCACGATATGTAAAAGATAATAACAGAAAACTAATTTGAAAATCGTTTTTTTAGTCGATTCTGAGCCAAATTCGAATGCACCATGATAATGCTTTAATTTTTGTTTTGTTTCTTTACAATGAAAAAATAATTAATATTCTTTTGTCATTGTTTTTTAAGTTACAATAATAATAAGTAACGTATTAATAAAATTCATCAACTATAATGTATAAACTCATTTTTTGTCATTGGAACAACTAAACAAAGCCACGGTTTTTACATCGGATTTTAAGTTATTTTAATGTATCATACCATCTTTTTTATGAGTTTTATCATCTTTTGACGATAAAATCACTTTTTTGCAATTGTATGATGTATTATTAAATCGTTAGACTAAAAGTTATAATAGAAATAATCATTTGTCATTGGAATAAATGTTATAGCAATAAAGTAATCTTTTTTATTTGTTTAACAGTTACTTTGACGAATTAAATAATATTTTGTGACTGGATTTAAAATATCCTTTTGATATTAGACTAAAGGTATTATAATGTATTAAATGATCATTTGTTATTGCAAGTTATTAAATCATTTCTTGTCATTCAATTTCGATAAAAAGTTACCTTGACCAATTAAATCAATTTTTGTCATTGGATAAAAAGTAACCATAATGTATTAAATAGTCTTTTAGTTACTTTTATAGATTCAATCATTTTTGTCAATAATTTTAAAGCCACTTCAACCAAATTTTCCCATCAGATTAAAAGTTACTATTACATAATAAATCACCTTTTAACATTGGATTAAAAGTAAAAATAACGTATAAATCACATTTTGTATTACCTGATACGACATCGCATCTGAAGTCAATATAACGTATTAAACCATCTTTTGCCATTGTATTAAATCACATTTTGCCATAGGATTAAAATACCTTTTGCCATTGGATTAAAATACCTTTTGCCATTGGATAAAGATACATTTTGTCATTGGATAAAAAGTGACTACAACGTGATAAATCGCATTTAGTATTGTATCTTTAGTCAATATAACATTAAACTATATTTTGCCATTGAATTAAAATACATTTTGTCATTGGATTAAAAGTTGCTATTTCGTAATAAACCCTATTTGGCATTGTGTCTTTTGTTGATATTACGTATTTAATCATCCTTTGCCATTGGATTTAAATACCTTTTGTCAGTGGATTAAAAGTTACTATAACGTATTAAGTCCCATTTGGCATTGTATCTTTAGTTGATATTATTAGATTAAATTATCCATTGCCATTGGATTACATCATAATTTGCCAAAGTATTAAAATACTTTTGTCATTGGATTAAAAGTTACTTTAACGTAATAAATCCCATTTAGCATTGAATCTTTAGCTGATATTACGTATTTAAGCATCTTTTGCCATTGGATTAAATGCCATTCTGCCATTTGATTAAAATACCTTATTGTAATTGAATTAAAAGTTACTATATATAACGTAATAAATTCAATTTGGCATTGTATCTTTAGTTTATATTATTGGATTAAATCACATGTTGCCATTGGATTAAATCACAAATTGCCATAGGATTATAATACCTTTTGTCATTGGATTAAAAATTACTATAATATAATAAATCCCATTTGGCATTGTATCTTTAGTTGGTTTTATTGGATTAAATGACATTTTTGCCTTTGATTAAATCACATTTTGCCATAGGATCAAAATGCTTTTTGTCATTGTATTAAAAGTTACTATAACGTAATAAGTCCCATTTAACATCGTATCTTTAGTTAAAATCATCCTTTGCTATTGCGTTAAATCACATTTTGCCATAGGATTAAAATAACTTTTGTTTTTGGATTAAAAGTTACTATAAGGTAATAAATCTCATTTGGCATTGTATCTTTAGTTGATATTACGTATTTAAGCATCTTTTGCCATTTAATTAAATGTTAATATAATGTATAACTTTCTTTCTACAACAACGTATTTAATAGGATTGGAAGTCTCCAAGGTTAAGGTCACAGAGGCTTAAATGATTTTCCTCCTTTATTTTAGCCCTGCTCGCACCTTGGTTTCAATAGAGCTTTACACTCTTTAAGAACCAGTTACGATGGCCTTTTTAATGTACACGAATATAATATGCGAGGTTTAATGTAACAAGAAGATAATTTTTAAAAATTGATTTTAAAGTGACAGTAGCGTAGGTAATCGTCTTAGATTTTGTGTCATTGGTTTCAAGTTATGATGTTTCTACTTTTACGAATTGTGTCATCTTTTGCCATTGGATTTAAAGTTATTTTACTATATTCAATTACGTACTTATTACGTACATTTACATTTTACAATTAATTGATTTAACTTAAATGTAACTTTAATGTAATTTTAAACTCTTTTGTTATTGGATTCAAAAATTAGTTTCACGCAATAGATATTATTCTGCAAGAAACGGAATTTTACACAGTAGATATAAGGTTGATGTAGGACCTATGGTGGATTGCTGGCTGGGTAGTATCGTGCCAGGCTACCTCCTCTCGGACTCCTACCGAGCCGATTTTTCAATGTTGCAGACCACTTCAAAATGAAATTGTATTTTTAAAAGGTCGTACACTGTCATGAAAATAGACTGGAAAAATAATATGTTTATGTGATACAAGGTACGTTGGGACTATTTGTCGAACGCCGTGATTTTGTTTGTAGATGTATACAAGATAACGTCATTGTATGGAGGAAATAATAATAATAAAATAATAAATCGACAAACGATAGTGTTTAGAAAAAAAGAAAAACATAACATTTGCTTCAACTTTTCAACAAATTTTATTGCAACAAACTTTATAAAACGAGACATATGTAACAAGTATTACCAGTTTATCAAAAGCTACAAAAATAAACATCTCTATCTAGTTACAATTTTACATGCACTGGGATTGCAGAGCATATCTATCGCCATTCCGTTCTATTTTGATTTAAGCCGAAAGCTGTTGATTACTTTGAACATAACTTGCGCGCAATGTTTGCCGGAATTTCAAAGTAATACGAAATAAACTGAGTCTACTGGTGGTGACTGATTTCACCAATGCGACCACTGCAGTCCAAGATTTGGCGGAACACCTGTGCCTACACCGTTAGCAATTAAGTCCGTAAATGTTTTGAAATGTTCCCAAAAATGACGAATGACTGTCCGAAATGAAAGATGGAAAAGTACATTAAAGATTTATGGTGTGGTAATGTTAAATATATTGAGATGTTTGTGTGTACAATTATTTTTATTTAGTACTATCGGGAATGTGAAACAATTGTCTGTGTTTTTTTACTGTTTTAACTGTATATGAAAGATATATTTATCCGACAGATAGCACCAAAATTAAATCAACAATAGGTTAGCAGATAAAAAATATTTCTTAACAAACTTGCATATAGAAAAAGTTACTTTGGTATTAAGGTAGGATCTGTTTCAAGGAATCTTGATCGGGTTTTTAAGTCACACAGACACTTTCCAGCTTTACTATTAAATGGAGGAAGAGTTCAGATGCCACAATGTAAATTATTCGAAAGATGAAAGGACACCTGAATTAAATATAGCGGTATTCCTTAAGTTTCTTTGTAATGAAAATAACCATCTTATGAAAATAACCAAATTCCATATAGGGATTCGAACGAACAACAGTTAAGGGCTACTGTTAGCAAGTTAACGACGACCTTAAAAATCCGTCTATAACTTTTAACAGTTAACTTTGAGCTTGCGAAGATTACAGCATATAGAAACATAGATTGTTCTTAGAAAATGGTCAACATTAAAAAGTGGTTGTTACTGAGATAATGGTATGGTTAAAACAAAATTAAATTGTAAAGAAAAGGCTTGCATGTTGTAAGAGAAATCTCGCACGAAAAACCGGTATTTTTTTTGATATGTCCATTTTGTATTTGTATAAAAATGTGCTAGCAAAAATATATGTTTTTTTTAATCAATCAAGAATTCTTAGATTATTATAATATTAATCCATTGCCGTTTACTCTTTGCATGCACATAAAGTAGGAAGGTTTAAACAAGGGTGTTGTTGAACTTTCACTTGATCACATGGCTTTAAACCACTGTACAACTTTTATACAATGGAGCATGATTAACAAACTGTTTGCTCTTAACAAATACATTCCTTTAAATAATGTACATTAATCAAGTTATATAAAGGCAGTTAACAGTATATGAGAATAAAAAAACAAATCACGGTGGTGTATAAACTATGAAAAAATGATTTTGAACCACATACACAAATCATGTGATAGGCTGTTGACATGTGACTATTAAAACAGATCACTTGATGTATAGGCCTGTTAAACAGCACATTATGTTTCATGTACAAATCACGCGTTGAATAAAAATACACAAATCACAGAACGAAGAAAAAAGTAAACATAAAGAATAATTGAAAGACCTTCTTTGCGAACGCATAGCAGTCGAAATCATAAAATGAAAAAAAATAACATGGTTAAGATTTGCAATGAGGTATCAATTTTATTGTATCCATGTCAGACCGAACATTATCTCTATAACTTTGATATATGCTCAACTTAAAAAAAATATAAAAAACATGGTTGTACCTTTGATGACTTAAGTCCAGTTGATTCAGTTCTCAAAAAAAAATTTTGACATTAAATAAAAATCGTTTAAGAATCGTTCTATTCTAAAAGCATTGCATTATGAGGTTTTGATTAAAATAAGATCCTATGTTATTTTCATCAATTCTAAAAATGTGTTGTTTTTTTTTCATTTTCTTTTAAATGTAAATAAATTTGAAGAAAAAATGAATTGAAAATTAAAATTTGCTTAAGCTATGTCAACATTTAATGGTGATTGTACCGTGCATTTCCGAAGGGTAAAAATCTTGTTAATACACTACCAACATATCTTTACAGTAACATTTTGACTACTAATTTTTAACAGATCAGTTTCCGACAACATTTCATATAGCAGGCATTTGTAAAATACTGAACATATCTATATTACATCTGTAACTCAGCGTCGCTTTAAATGAAGCAATGTTCTGACAACCAGTTGAAGACAACCGGATAAAAACTCAAACACAAGTGTCCATAAATAACATACATATATAAATAATTTATCGACCCGAGAAATCAGCAGACCGTGTCTTTTCATAAATACCAAAACTTGAACACAATATCTTTCGTTTCTTGCAACGTTTTGTTTTGCCCTTCAAAGACGTAACAACTATGAGCAGTTTCGTGGACATATCTTATGATGTTGCCGGTTTTGAACCTAACACTGGTGCAATTGAATGCCACTTTGCCGTATCAGCCGGTCTCGGAGAAATTGTCTCTTTCCAATGCAATTTACCGCTTCTACATCCATTAGGACCTATAGTCACGTGACCAACAACGGTGTCTTTTGTATGCAACTTCCCGCGCATAATCACAAAGTCAAGGCTGTATTCATTTACATCACTTCCGCTCAAATCAAACAAAAATGGCTGATTCCATATTGGACAATATCCGCTTTGTGATTTGGTTTCTTGCGTTTTGATTACTTCGTTATTCTTCATCAAAGCTATTGTCACATAGTGAACTGAAATTAAAATAAATATAATGTTCATCTTGTTTTTCACTTTCTATGATTAATGATAGTTAAAATATATTTAAGTTACGGTAAATCATTGATAGATATAAATAAATTTTCTAGGTAGTCTTCTGCAGAGAATAACATTTATGCCATATAATCTTTACAGGTTATTCAGAAAAATAAATCAATTCGATTTTCATAAATAAAAGTATTTGTAAAAATATTTCAACCATATTTCAGAGAAGAAAAAAAACAACAACAACAAAATATTCAGTGCCCGATTATTGGTATCAAACTCATATGCCTTTGGTTGATAAGCAGAACTCTGAACCACAAAGGCCACTGTCTCCACTTATTTTTAGCAAATTGGATTTATAGTTAAGTCATTGTTAGAAAATGTAAATGGCATATAATACGTGTTTAACTTGTGTACAAGGTGGAAAGTGGCCAAGTGGTATTTGAGCCGCGTCACGACAAAACCAACATAATGGGTTTGCGACCAGCATGGATCCAGACCAGCCTGCGCATCCGCGTAGTCTGATCAGGATCCATGCTGTTCGCTTACAAACCGTATAACAAGTAGAGAAACTGATAGCGAACAGCATGGATCCTGATCAGACTGCGCGGATGCGCAGGCTGGTCTGGATCCATGCTGGTCGCAAACGCACTATGTTAGTTTTGTCGTGACGCGGCTCATTTGTCTCTGACACTTAACTACATTATTGATGTTTTGAGGACTTATGGAGTCTTCACAACATTTTTCAAAAATGCGAACTCGAGGCAGGGTCAAATAAGCTTCTCGTTTTTGTTTGTCTCTTTCGATTTTTTGTTGTTGTTGTTTTCCCCATAAACATCATTTCATGACTTAATCTAATCTGTTAAAATTCTGATTTGATATCAAATAACTTTGGATGTTTTACCACACGGTGTTGTATAAGTGCCAATACTGATGTAGGTTAGCCAGACGCTACTTATATTACATTTTTCATCAAGGTAATATCAACGTCATTTTTACTTGATTCACCCAATTTTCTTCACACAGTATCACGTGTTCGTACTAACCGAGTTTTGTGAAATGGGTTAAAGTCCCTAATTATTACCTTACTGTATACTAATATTGCCTTTTTCGGCAATAACGCAATAAACTTCCTTTAAACAAGTTAAAAAGATGAAAAATGTGCAGAAAAAATGTTCATATTTACCTGGTCTACCGATGAGTTTGTCTGACTTTGGTAGGTCACTGGCTTTCCGGATCATCACCTTCATCCGGTTAGCCACGGATTGGTATTCTAGGCAAACAAATAACGAACCCAGGTCCTCTAATAAATATTTCTCCCGTGTACCCTAAAATAAAATATAATAAAATATAAGGCATGTATTAAAAATTAACCAAAACCTCTATGATATAAAAGTTTAATCATGTTTAACAGACACGAAAAGTGAAAGATTGGCCTTTATATCGCCCAAACTGCATTAAAACTAATATGTTAAAACGCCATTTTGCTTTCGTCTCTTTACAATTGCTTGGAAAATGTTTCTCCTCAAAAATAGATGTGTACTTTAACGTATATAATAGGTGATTTTTCTCCTCCCACATATATAACGATCAGAAACTAGGGAACAAATCTAATCACTGCACATGCCAAGTTAATTCTGTAATGCATTTGCGATATTTCTCGATGAAATAAAAGCACCGACAAAACATAATAGTGTCAGTTTGAACCGTAATAACATACGAACTTGATGAAAACTAATTACAGTGGCTGAAATGGTATTCCAAGGTTACAAGAAACATATGGCATTCAATTCATTTCTTGGAAATTCTTATAACTGTACTTTTGGGATCGTATTACTGTACTTTTGCCTGTTTAAAGACAGCTGCCTTCGCAAATTAATACTATTCTATATTCATTGATAACTTAATAAATGTCCTTTTTTATATTTGTCCACAATTATTGTTAAAACGTTGATAGTATTTGACCAAAAAAAAAAAATAGTGACTAGTGACATTGTTCGAAAAATCGCGTAGATTTGAAGAATAAGCTAGTGTTTGTTGTAATTGTTATAATGATGTTTTAATCAAGATAAAGCGGACGTTTACTAAAACGTTACTAAGCTTTCTTAAATGGATGATTTAAAAAAAGTAAACATACAAATTTCAATAGTTCTTACATTTCTGATTTTATTTTTCTCTAATTCACAGTCGAACTGTAAAGGTGCCTCGCTGCTCCAGTCGACGTCACTGCATTCCATGTAGGTTTCACCAAGGAAACCATCTTTCCCCGATCTCGTCTTCTTTTTGTACATAAGAACCAATCTGAGCGTCGACTTATCAACTTCCGCTAAGATGATGTCGTCAAACAAAAATGTTTCGTTAAGAATTAGTTCCTTCCCTCCGACGACACTACGACTGTGGACCCCGTCTGTACTTCTCGGAAACAGATACACGATGACGTAAATGTCATACCCGTAGCATTTGAGAGGCAAATCGTTCATGCGTAACAATTTAAGGCGCAACTGCCGTAACTTCTGTGAGTATTTGAGTGAAAAAGATATGGTTACATTCTCAACTTCTTCCATTGATAGCCTAGCAACCATGGATTTCGACCTTTTCATTCCTTTTGATGCCGGCTTGTTGCTCTGGCCGTCTAAGCTTGGGTATTTCTTAAGATGGTCTTTATTTTGACGCGACTTACTTTCTCGGTATTGTGAAAGCTCTAAATCGGTCACTTTAATCTCCTTAGTTTCATCGAATGAACTGTAACTCGTCCGGGAATTCGGTGCACTTAGTTGACGCCGAGTTCCGACGACAGAGTAGACCGGTCGAGACAATGTGGTAAACATGTTGTCGTATTTGAGTGCCTTTAGGTTTTTCCGGCATCTTCTACGTTTCATTAATATAAGAAAGGCAACAAGCAAGAGTGAAGCTATCAGCACCGTCGCTCCTGATAGACAAAGCACCAATGTAACTGGAAAAGAAAGCGTACAATTTTGATATTGAAACTAAATGGCAAACATATTTTTAAATGTACATGTTTGCTTATAAAAATTTAGGAATAAGTACCGAATCATTTCCATTACCTGACTTTTACAGAACAAAAATTTGATCTGTTTTCGATCTTAATGACAAGTATCAAGCACAGATCGTGATGCACTTTTGTCACGTCATGGACATTTTAAAGCCAAAAGTTTGCATGCTATGGATTTTTGTAAGTTGAAATGATGGACTGTTTAATTAAGTTTTTTTTCCAAATCTTTGTGACACATATTTATCTTATGGAAAGCCGGCGGCTGTTTTTAGATTTTGTTGTTTGTTGAGAATCACTGCAAGAGCTTATACAGTGTCTTTGCATTGTCGTCTGCTACGTTATATTAGGAGACATTGATTAGGTGTAGGCGGGCAGATTTATTTTCGCTTCAGGCTGATGGGAAATTGTCGTCTGATTTGGCCAAAGCAGACGTAAAGATAAAATAAAGTGTGTAAATGGAATTCGAAACTAAATACTTCTTACAATGATGTAAACGGCAGCAAGTAATTAGAAAATTGGCATTGAAACTAGCGCTCAATGTGTAAGTCAATTATTTTAACTTCACCCGAGCTCTGATAGTGAAATTGGGCAATAAATCTAAGGGCCTTTTACAATGTTTCAAACGCTTGCAGAGAAAACCCCGCCTTTTCCAAAAGGTATAAAAACAAGGTATATAAATGTTGAAGCGGTTTCGTTTTGAATGTATAAGGTGTTGATGAAACATTATTAGTGTAAAATATCAGCAAGACTTAAAAATAGAAAATTGTTAATGTGAATCTGTTCACTTGAAATACTATCTGTCATGGTTTACTGTTAATTTCAACATGTTGTTTCCAGGTTACTGATAAATGTGTTAGGATAGCCTAATATTTCCTTCATATTCAGAAAACTGTTGACTTGTTTGATATAATTAATTTCTCAACATAACTTGTATATAGTAACACGGGGAGAACGCGTCAATTAAGAATATCTAGAATCGTTCACTATGTATTCATTGCGGATAATGTAACATATTTGATATGACAGATCTTTCAGCTTTATTTTCAATAAAATAACCGCATGCCCTTCCCGGTTTAAACTGGCTTTGTTAATTTGCTTTTTGTCTTCCTTTAACCAGAAACACGAACAAGGTAGAAAAATGAAACCTTCCCACGTTGTTATTTTGCTTGTCAAAGGTTTGAGCAAAATGATATCGATGAAAAAGGTTTAGGATTTACACAGAGCTGTAAGTTTGTGGCTAAGCACAAAAAAAGCTATTAAAAACAAATCAGCTTTTTTTCGTCTCTGTTAAGTTATGAACTATGTGAACAAAATTATACAATTGTTACTTTTTAATTTTGACGCATCATAACATGGCAAATGCTGTAATTTAGGCTTCTTTGATTTGTCGTTTTGTTACAAAAGGCAGATTTATTTATTTTTTTGTTTAATAAACATGATTTCCTATGAATGAATATGACATAATTTCCTAACGAGTATTTTTATAGTCAAAGATATCTTCACGGAATAATTTCTTAATGAAATTTTATGTGGACATTACCTTATTGGCTTATTCTCTCAAAGGAACATTTTAATGAATATTTTTTACTGAATTATCTATAATTAAGAATATACATATTCACATGCAGTTGATACAAAAACAATAGAAGTTTCTGTAACAATGTTTCAAATAGATTTGATGATGGTTCCGCGCATACAACATTGTTCTTTCAATTGAGAAGTTGGTTTGATTTTTCAATCGGAACACGTCGACTATTATTCATAATTCTTATCCGTTGTTCTACCAAAAGGGCCGAGAATGTCCGATTGGGTGATTTTTCCTTTTAGAACAGAACAGAACAGAACAGAAAGTTTATTTTGACGTATACAAAGTACATAGTCAATTACATTAATACATTCATTCATACATACATATATACAATCACAAAATCAATGGATAGTCTGCAAATTTCTTGAAGGTGAACAATTTAATCTATTTTGTTTCCTTCAGTATAGGATATGACATAATCAGTTTAACATATATTACATAGTTTAATATTGTGTTACGAACATGTTGACAAAGATAGCGTGAATTTCACATACATTATTGTGCCACTTGCAATAAAGTTATCTATATATACGTAATCAACATCCGATACAAGTGAATAACCAACTATAGTATCACACTATATACTATTTTGAAGGGGAATAGTACTCCAAAACTACAGTTAACCTTAAACGAAAAGAAAGGGAAGGTTAACAATTGGCTATTCCAAAAAATATTTCGATTGCAAAGTTGTAATTTAAGAAAAAGCCTTACGACTAACTTGGGTCATAAGACAAAATAATCTACTTAATACATTTCTTAACTGTGCACAGTCATAAGACATATAACTAATAATCTATTTAATTAGAACTGTACGGTTGACCAGAAACATCCATATAAAGTTTGCTATCTTTTCAACAATGTTTGGCTTACTTATAATATATTTGCATAACTAAATATAACTCATCATCTATTAAATTAGAACTGTACGGTTGACCAGAAACATCCATATAAACACTATTAAGCTTATAATAAATAACATCTTATTTACAACATCAAACTATAAACATACATATATACAAACTAACACAGTCTGGTTGACCAAAGCAACCATATAAACACTAACCGGCATATAATAAATAGAGCACGTTCTATATTTCAAGACAATTTTACACTAATTGGTAATATTTATAATCGAATTTCTTATAGACATTGCGTTTTTACAGTATAACCCTAATTTATAAAGAGCAGTCTTATTTTCTGTTTGTAACAATTCTAAAAACTTAAAAACACTTGGTTTGATATAATAATATTTTGCTATAAATTTTTTACGTAAATCTGTATAGATAGGGCATATAATAACAAAGTGGTATTCATCTTCTAAATCTAGTGAATGGCAACATTGACAATATCTTTCGTTTCTAGGTATTCTATTTCTGGCAAACCTTCCAGTTTGAATTCTTAGAGCATGCGCTGAAATTCTTAATCTAGTGATGTAACATCTTAATGAACTAGGTAAAATATCTAAATATGCTTCGTATCCAAAAATATTTTTAAAGTTTTTATACAAATCTAACACTTCGCTACTTTCCTTATTTACATTCCATCCTTGTAAAAAACAATCTATCACTCTCTCCTTAAATATATATACAAAATTTTTATCAATAGCGCATGGATTGTCCCAAACATATGTAAATCCGAAGTCACATAATAGAGCTTTAACATTGGTCACCCAGTTTTTAAAACCTTTGTTACAATGTTCCAATGACATTACATAAACACGATTTAATATAATATTGTCACTATTTATTAATCTTAACCAATATTTTATCATGGCTACATAACGCTTAATATACAATGGGTATCTGCCCAATTCACCGTACACACCAACGGAACAAGTACTATTTCTAACCTTTAATAAATGTTTGCAAAATTTCAGATGGATTCGTTCAATAACTTTTGACTTTGTATAACCCCAAATTTCTGCTGCGTAGTTTAATATCGAACCAACAAATGCATCGAATAATTGACATAAAACTTTAGGCCTTAACTTAATCTTTTTACAATTAATCATTAATAAATTCAATGCCTTAAGAGCCTTTCCAGTGAGATATTCCTGATTTAGCGTAAAATTTCCAGTATAATGAAATACAGTTCCTAAATAGTTAAAATCGTTCACTACCTCTAATTCTTTCCCATTATATGTCCAATGTTCATTTAACAATAAACCCCCTCTTTTTCTAAATACCATAATTTTAGTTTTTTCAATATTAACTTCTAATCCCCATTTACTACAATAATCATACAATAGGTTTAAATTTTTCTGCAATTCCTCCTTTGACTTTCCTAAAATTACCATATCATCTGCAAATAATAACAAAATTAATACAATATCATCAATGACTAAACCAGACATGTATTTTATGAACCACAGTAAGCCTAAGATAGCCCGGCATGTATATAGACGTCAAAAACGTCTAGATATCTTCACATTAATCTAAACTCATAGGTACATGTATACAGAATTATACGATAATTGATGATAATTGAACATTGTTATTACCTGTATTGTTCTCATGAGAGGCTGTGACTACATTCCTGGGTGTACTGACCAAGATTTTATGCTCTGAAAAAAAAAGACAAAAACAAAAATTAAAAAATTATGAAATAATTTTTAATCGATAAATTTCTTGCTAATACATTTGCTTGCTAGTTCATCAACGTTGACATTAAATTTAATTTAGTAAGAAAGTTATGTAACTCAAGGGAAAACTTTGTCTTCGAGCAATGTCCTCTGATGCGCATGCGTGTATGCGCAGTGTATGTCAGTTTTAGCGAGAACTGCGCAGAAGAAATAAAAGAATGCCAAGGTCGTGGTGGAAAGGTGTCTGCGGTTTTTGGAAAAATGTGCTGCAGATCGCAAAATACAATATTCAAATCAAACAACCTTCAGAATGTATGCCATATGCTGCTTTGGTCTTTACAGGCGATGTAAATCTCATTTATTTTTATGTCTTGACATTTTATACAGCATGTGATAGAATTGTGTTTTAATGAATATGCAGGATATGCGGATTTTGCGGAGCACTTTACGAAAACCTGTAATTTTTACGTATTTTTTATTTAGTCCAAATGAAATATGACAATTTGATTCGAAAATACAGAATTGGCGATAAAAATGCCTTCCTTGTAAAAAAACAAATCCTACCGCAAAATTAAACAAGAACCTCATGGATTTCCTAAGTTTCCCAAAAGTATAGAGCCTGGTCAGACTGGAGGAATCATAATAATTTCCGATTTAGGGTTAGGGCAAAGGTTGATATAAAGAACTGTTTATATAAAGAGACAATAAGGAAATGAGTCCCAACTGGTGTTAAAGCAATACATGTCTAACCCAGATGTTACGTTTAAAATTTCTAAAAAAGTTCGTCTGTAACTTCTTAAAGGAGAACGAGTTCTTCGAAAAAAATATATAACCAAACGGTACTTTAACTGAACATAAGAAAATGAATCGCAATACTTATAGTTCAGAAAAAAAAAGTTTTTCTCTATGCAACAAGTATCGTTATTATAAGAATATATAAGCCTTTTTGTCATAATGTACATTTACACCCTATGTAAATAAAATTTTAATGTAAAAATGATATCTATGTAACAATGTAAAAGTGGCCGTCGTAAAATAGATCTATTTTAAAATGTTTACTTCTGTTGCTATTTCTTTAACATATTTTGTTATTATTCACGTAAACCTTTCTAAGATTTTAAAATTCCATGGTTTTAAGCGTTTAGACTTTAATGGATTTCCTTTAAGGCGATATTTGTGAAAATAAATTGCATTTGATTTTTGTTTATTCTATCTATTTATAGTCTTTTCCTTCCTCAAAACACCAAAAGAAGCTCCAAGCATACGTTTTATTAAGTCAACCTATATGCACCAGTTAAATCGTGACTCGCCTAGATTTTATATTCTTTTGAAACTTATATTGATGTCACACGTTTTCTAAGCAGTAAATCCACGGTTTCGTATAAAGTGATCCATGGTTTCGTTTTAATTTTAGTCACGCTGGAGTCATTTGAGTCGTGTCACGGATTCGTGATAATTTGAACCGTCCATTTATCACCAGCCTTCTAAGACTGGGAATGATCAGCCTTTGCCACCAGTATACACCCAGACCAGCTGGCACAGCCGTCCAGCCACTGAACTTTGGTAGCTATTTTTTTTACTTATATTGAAATCCCTTAAACATTGAAAATTGACTATTCGAAATTCATTATGGGAAAATCCATTACGAATTTAGAGGGATTTAAATACGAATTCCAAAATTGAGCAGACATTTGTATAAAGGCTGGTCAGTTGAGATTTGACGGGGTTTACACTGTTCACAAAGGCGTGCATTTTTATCCACTTGCATTCAAGTTGTAAAAATTAATAATGAGTTTTAGACGCTACATTGAAATACTTTGGATTTTGAATTGCGATAAGATGTGTAACGGTTACTATAAGTGTTTTTCTTACCATCCCGTGCACTCGTGCACAACACATGTATCTGTTTAGTAAGTATTTGGCTTGGCACAATTAACATTAAGTCGCACCGATGGAACAAATTTAAATTTTACTAAGCAGAGAGGCCTTGTATAATTTAACCCTTACCACGTAAGATATCTTAAATGGACTTGTCCATCTTTCAATCTAGACACAACCATTCATCATTTTAGGGGAAAGTTTAAAATATGTACGGAACGAATAGCGACCATGACCTTTGTCTGCGCTGATCGTATGGGGGAAATATGTTAAAGTCAGAAGACTATAAGGACTAATTAAAATTAAAGGCAATAGCCAATTATGAATTGTTTTTCATTTCTTGCCTAGTTAATTGTTTTCTATTTTAGATTGAATCTGCCTGCATTCCTAAGTGTGACCGTCACAAAAAAGTCCAAAGCTTGCTAATTTCTTTTAACAAATAATTGTCATAATCTCCTTAGAAAATAGTTGAAGGACAAATGACCTAAACTGAATTCGACTCAGATATTCAAGAAGAACTCGAGTCTACGAGCTTAAAGCAACATAATTGCAGTTTAACATTTTCAAAGACTCGTTTAATATGGAAAGTCTACATGAGATGATTACTATATACGATATACGTACACAGTGCAAGCAATGCTTAAAGAAAATAACGCTTCTTATTCTATAGACTGTTTTCAATGCTGTTTTGATACACACAATTAAATTATTTCAAGATAATTATAAATAAGTGCAGATAATTTGTAATACACATTTATTTTGCTTTAACTTAAACCAGTAAAACACATTTGTAAAACACCTGAACGGGAATGTCTAACCTTTTTTTTCTATGCACTTATAAAATGAGTCCATTATCTACATTTGTACGCTTTTTTCTATGAATTTATAAAATGAGCTTTTCTATACACTCATAAAGTAATATATATTTAGGTTAAAGCAGATAAAGTAAAATAAATGTTCAAAAAACGAAAACAAAATAAAATGTATGAGCAAACTTGCTGTTAAAAATAGTAAATAATAAATAGTAAAGAAATATTCATGTCTGAACATGTGTAAATATTATCACAATGAAGGTGAAATTTTGATTTTTTTTTTGCAAAGTATGACAGAATGTACCATTTTTAGCACCAAATTTCTACAACGTTTGTAACAGATTAAGGCGAGTTTCATCATATTTTGAAAATTTTGACAAGCTGTAGACAATTTCCGTGTAAAACTGGTGCATATGACAAAGTCAAATCATTTAATTAATATACTTTTTCTCATTAAAGTGGATTGGTCCCTCAATGATCATATTTCCCATTCTTTGTTGTTATGGCTGATACTAAGTACTATCAATAATTTATTGTAAGACAGACCTTCCATTATAGACCAATTCACTTTAACACAATTCTTACATATTATATACAAATTGAAAGAAATTTGGAGGCGTGTAGCTTTTAAAGTAAAATGCTAAATAACGACCATAGTTCTGTATACATTAAACCCATCATTTTTTCATTTATAAACAAATTTTAAATAAAGTCAAATATCTACAACATAAACCACATGCATACTTTCCGTCTTTAAATGATATTTGGTCAAAATATATACTGACTTAATTAACTTATGACAGTCATAATATAAACAAAGCTTTACTTTTAGAACTACTAGCATAATATTATTTCATATTTTATGATTAAAAACCTACCTTGTTTGATTATGTCCAATTTTTCTGTATCACTTAATACTTTCATTTTTGGAACAATTTTAATATCCGAGAATATCCTCATCATAAATGTTCCAATGTCCCTTTTTCTATTGTAACAATCGTTCTGTTAGTTAAATGAAATCAGTTAGCTTTATATCACCGAGTATAAATTTGTTCTGGCTCGTAGGCCCATAGTGTTAATAAGATCTTATTTGTAGATATATAAATAAATAGATAAATAAATAAATAATGTCTCCCTTTATGCGTATTCACATTTGGGATTATCTGATTTTTTTCTAAGTATTGTGTTTGCTTTTAAGGTAAGTTGAAACAAACAGTAACGATTCCTATACAATTGTCATACCATTCGGAGTTGATTCTAAATATATATAGGTGGGAAGAGTTTCCCAGAATTCCTGGCGTGAAGCTCTGGTTTCAACGCGAATTGTCCAGTAAAGTAACGGATTTTCATAACGTTATTGAGAAAAAAAAACTTCGCTATTCCTTTAGTTGTAATAATATCAATTATATTTACAAAAAAATTAACGTATTGATTTATATTGTTCGATGTAGAATTTTTTAGATTTTTTATTTTTGTTTTATTAATCGGTGCATAAAAGCCAATTCTATCACGACATACGTGTGTATGTCGTGATAGAATTGGCTTTTATGCACCGATTAATTGTAACACCCTGGCTCCTTTTCTCGGGGGTTTGCGCGGGAGGATAATAGGTGTAATAAATGGATTGTCCACTTAACGTCTGCTAGTTTAGTTTGGCGCCAAATAAGCGGAGGAAATTTTAGGGCCATCCTACAATACACAGGATCAAATAGAGGAGGATTTCGCTATCCATCAGGGACGCAAGTGGGTGGGTGGCTGGGTATCGGGCTCGGTGTTCCATTGTTCTTTACATCGGCATTACAATCAGTATTATGTAAGTTAGCCAACCAGCTCCCTGTTAGTGCACGCACGCACGGACACACGCATGCACATTAGATTTAAACGCACGATTAATTGGAGCATTTTTTTTTCATTTTTACTCTCAAATATCATTACCCGTACATGTCAAGGTCATTTGATTATTAGTAAGGAAGAAAATTTACTTTTCTCAAGGATAAGTGCCTTTCAAGATAAATGTAATTGTGACATAGTATCTATAAATAGTAACTTCTGATTAATCAGAAACAGCTTCTCCCTTATGTATACATGTCTTTACAAGCTGTTAATAGTTTCTGCAGACGACTCTTTTATATTCGATTAATGTCAGATAATTGTTCTTGTTTTCAGACAGCTTCAATCGCAAGAAATATGCTTATTTACCGTCGATAAATATTATTTGTACGGTAAGAAAAAAACATTAGGAGAGAAAAATAAAGTATTCTCTTTTTCCGGACCAAAACTGTTCATCTTTTAAAAAATCATTACCATGCTTTTATGATATAAACGACATTTCCCTTAGACTCCGCTTTATTTGGTCATATTTGATAAAGAAATTAGTGACAACAAGCCGTTTATTTATTATATCAGCGGGCAGTAATACCCCGATCCCCACTCACACCGACCCCCCCCCCCCACCACCACCCACTTACAAAAAATAGGGTTGCTAAAAAGCAGTTTGGCATACATATGTAATTATGAAATATGACATGTTTAATATGACTCACAGCCATACCGAACTGGTAAAGTCTGGCTAAATGCCAATGTTGTAAATGGTTAACCTGATAATTACTAAGGCACAGACTGGGTTTTGAACCCTCTCGATAACCACCACTCAACATCGACGTTAAAGGATTTAACCCAAGTGTATAGCTGTTGTAAGTAAATCACTTATAGGGTGAGATAATTTCGCCTCCCAGTCTGTCTTGATTGCTCGGATAGCCTACTGTAGGAATGGTGAAATTGAAAGCGCAAGGACGATTGCGGACTTTAAAGCATTTCACCACCGATACAAGAGCTCTATTCCGTGTGCTCCAACCCTGCCATCATGGTTATTTACATTGTACAGTAAGAAGACAGAAATATGATCGACACCATCCGGTTAGCTCAATTGGTAGCGCGATGGACAAAATTGGGCGACCCGGTTCGATTCCAGAACGGTGAAGGTTGTGATTGATCACAAAACCCTTTCTACAGTCATTCGCACTGTATATACTACAGTACTGGCAAACTGCTTGACAGCCTGACCTGGAACGATGTGGTGGCTAAACTGTGCTCTGGCGAAATCAAATATGGCTAACTGTCGTGATATTTACGGTAAACCGCCACAGAGTTATGATTTTGTCAAAATATAAAAAGAAAACTGTTAAAAATAAAATCGTTACCACCATTTGCTGTTGCATCTTTAAAATCAGGAACTACATGTACCATGGTTCCGTGCGCATCCCTAACTTATGACTGTATATTTCCAACAATAAAACCTTTAATATTTTAGAAAAACACGTCAGGTCACTCGACATACTTTTAAAGTTTTGTGATCAGGAGGTTACCAGTTTTTTCCCCGTTTAACCCCAGAGGTTAAATTATTCTTTCTCTTTATTGTCTGATATTTGCTCAGGGATTTCTAGGAAGACAGATTTATTGTACAGGAAAAAGTACTGAAATTGAGTTAAAGCGGTTACGTTTTCTTTTTTAATCTAACATCATGCTTAACGCCTTGTGACCCCAGATATAACGGTCTATTTTAATTGATATGTGTCCCCTGACGACAATGAAGCGCTCCCGTGCGACAATATTTCGTTTTTCAATTTATGTTCGACATGGAAATAATGAGGTCAAATTCTTATTTTATCATATATCAGAACGCAGGCTTGTCTTATATTTGGTCATGAATGTGAGATTTTAATATATCAGCTGTTCATAGTGTAAGACCAATAACCTATTTTACATGTCCATGTATACACATGTATATAAGAGGGTGAAAATAAGGAGAAAACTTCATTATCTATGTTCTGGTTAGGAATACAATGTATCACCTCTGTACAGCAACATCCTTTGTAGGGAGACAAAGATTCTGGTTGCTGATGAGAGGTGTTGCTTAACAGAGGTTAAATTAACAGAAAACCCTTATTTTTTTTGGAAAAAAATGTTGTTTTAAACAGGTGATTGTTCTACAGAGGTCCGCTCTGTACAGGGTGTATATCTTTCAGTTTTTGGCCTGTCTCTTTTATATCAGTTTATCTACACATTAATTCCGATGATATTTGCTCGTGATATAAGTGGACAATTTTGATGTTTTTGTTGTTCTCGAAATTTCAACATTGACAAGTATTTTCAGAAAAATCTATACTGTACATGCATAAACAACTTTTAGAACGCAGGGCGTTTTGAGAGCCTGTCCGACAAAGGTATACAAATATAACTACCAATATAGCTCGGATGTGCCGGTCGCACTGGTCGCATGAGTAAAATATGTCGCCCCCAGCAGGTTAATGATTAATTGGTTTATCCCTGGGCCATTGTAATTTTGCCGTTGTTATTATAATTATGTTTGGAGCAAACGACAATTTTCTTGTAATAAATTCAATATGAAATGTTTCTTATTAACAACAATTTTATTAAAAAACGTAAGTAATTACATATTTTTGTATACATTTTCAAGTTAAATTCTTTTATTAAGCACAATGGTACAATAATAACAAAGTTACGAAGTCAACAGAAATATCGCATATTTTTTATTTTATTATTACTTTGTTTTGTTTCGGTGACACAGTACAGGTCATATGGCGACGTTCAAACTTTACTTGTGGAGAAAGACCTCAGGTGCCCTTCCGTGCATTATTTCAGTCACGAACGGGTACCGACGTTTCGTAATCTAGCTGGATAGCTTCCTCACCTGACAGAATCCAAAGTTCCTGTCGGGATTCGAACCCACAGCAGTGAAGGGCAAGTGGTTTGAAGTCAACGACTTTAACCAATCGGGCACGGACGCCCCAGGTAATATGATGTATTATGTCATATAGTTGTTTAGTAAACGGAAATTTGAAAAAATAAATCAAATCTATACTAAATAGTTTACATCAGCAGTTTTCGAGGCGTGAAATATCGTTGCCCGTCTGTCTATCTCGTTGTCCGCCATACAGTACTAACTTGAGTACTTTTTGACGTCCTTGCAACTTTTACACTTCATTGTTATTTGTTTCCTATATTGATTCATATCATTTACAATGAAAATATCATTTTATAACAACATGAACTTTAAGTAACCGTGAAAACCTGTGGAAGACGTAAGAGGTGGGCGAAAAATATTGTTCATACTTTCACAAGTGACCAAGGTGGCGACAGCGCGAATTAAGCAGAAAGAAGAAAGTGATACACGTCATTTACAAATGTTTTTTTCTCTCTCCAGAATCATCAAACAATTGCGTCTCCATGTATAATATACATGTAATAGTTAGAGCGCCGCTGATTTTGTGTAACTTGTTTCTTCACTCACGAATATCTTAAATTCTCAACATTTTATTGGCACTAGGGACACCATTTTGAACCTTTTTTCCGAATAGTGTTGGTTATGTTCTAAGCAGATGTCATTTATCAAATTTTGCCGGCGAGAGTTTCCGAAGTTTGTCCGTAAAATACCGAAAGCGTTTCGTACGTAAGCAGTCCGAAACTGCGGACTTTAAACTTTAACTATGTTATATAACATAATTATTTATCCTACAAAACACTTTTCTGTACTCTATTCTGAAAAAAATGTAGTCTTACAATCCCATTTAACCGTCCTTTTTTTGTTTGTTTCCGTTTCGCAGTGATTAACAGTACTGTCAGTACTTTGATTTATTCTTGCAATAGAGAAAAAGGGAGAAAAAATAACATATTCCAACAGGAAGACGTATAAATCACAAACTACCATGCGTGGGCAGGATCAGATTTCTTATCAAGAAACTTGACAATAATAGAAAATTTATATGAAGATTGCTGTATTTAAGGTGTTATTTTTTCCCTCTTTTGACTAGATCTACAAACACTTAATTTCATTTATAAAAACTAGAATCTGGAATATGAGGACATGAAATGTTAACAAAAGATAAATGAACATAATAAAAATAGTATTATGATAAATAAGCTATTCTTTTCATTGTGATTACGTCAGATAATTGTAATTTTATCTATTATATTGATTTATTCTAACTTTAATGAGTACTAACGACCGACCGTAGTCTATGGGTAAAGTTCAACGAAAAATAATTCGAACAAAATAGTGAGGCTATTGTAAGAAAATGACTTAGAGTCTTTAGGTCAAAGACGTGTAATGAGAATTTGTAAATAAGCAATTCGCATAATTTTGCTAGCTTCAACGCCCTTTTAAGCACAAAAAGCTTGTAAAC